CTGTATACGGCAGACGTATGTTTCTTTTCTGTGCGGCGTAAACTTCTGGCTACATTAAGGGATCCAGTTACGGGGTTTGTAGGCCAAGCCATTCAACCAAATTACACGACCCACTCAAACGATAATGTTTGTCTTTGGATATAAACTGCAACGCCCCCAGTGTAAAATGCCGTTCTATGCGAGCCACAATTTCGGCGTGAATCTTGAGAGGTGCGCGAAAATTTCAGGGTGAATTTGGCGTCATACCATATTTTTCAATTATTCTATGTCATGACATGAATAGAACTAATAAAGAAAATAATTATATTAAACGATGCTCAAAAACACTCAGTTGATTCTAAAAACTCATCATGAACAATTCACATTGACTAATAGTTGTGTGGGATTGAGGCTAAAAGCAAGCAACTTCGATGGGGTACATAAAAATGTGCTGTAAACCCAAATGGTGAGTATGAGTTTGTTGTAAAAGTGGTGTAGAACATGTGTGCACCACGAATAGGATCGTCACATGCACGCTTTTTGCTAAATTGCTGCTGCGCTGCCCCATGTGCGTGTAAGTTTCCGTCTGTTAAATGTATGTCATATTATGTAAGTCATATTTATTACACATGGGCTAGTTCTTCATCAGCATAACAAAGTGATAAATGACCAGCCTACAAATAAATGTTTATATTACGTAAGATGACGCATTATTAAATGGTAGCATTACCTGCTGCACGCAGTGAGTCACCTAAAACCTGAAAACCTTGCGATTAGAAGGCGTGAATTAATCCCGCATCGTTAAATCCCCTAAAATGGTAGAACAGCGTAGCTGCATACCTACACTAAAACACATTGGCCACTGATTCGAGACGAAACCAAAATGTTTGTTTCACATTTGAACGCTACATGAGACATGTTTCACATTTGAAGATATTGCAGCAAGCAATAGATATGATGAAACAAGTCAAGTAAAACTTTTGATATACTTCTCACAAGAAAAGACTTCAGACTGTAGACAAGACAATTTATCTGTTTAGTAAACACGCTCCTCGATGCGTCATTGCTTGACTACGTCATCGTACCTTGCACAACATTGATTGACAGCCAATTAGCGGCGGTTATATCTGGAAATATATATATGTCAGTGTTCATGTAAGGTTCGCCAACGTGGGCCATTTTGCCGTTGGCTTGAAAGCATCAGCTCGGTTACGAGGCAACTTACAGTCGCGTGGTGGCATGGCGCGGTAAAAGTCCTTTCGTGCTGCTTGAGTGAGGGACCGATACAAAACGAAAGTGTTGAAGATGCATTGCCATAATGTCATGGAGGTTTTAAAGTGCTAACAATAAGCTACGTTCACCACGCAATCAGATGAAAACTTCGTTGGAACGAATTTTTTTTGTTTGTTTTGTTTTTCATTGTGAGGCTAACTGGACCCATAATATGCACTATCAATGCCGCACCAAAATAAAGCGTTGCTACCCAATTTTTTAGTCATATGAGATTTTGCAATCAAGAATTAGTGGCGTCAATATCACGTTTAGTTACGGGAAAAAGCGCCTAGGCTTACATTTGATGGACAAAAAAAAAATGAAGTGAAAATAAAGATCGGTTACCACAATGTCTAAGGACATAAGGACACCTCTATTGGGAACAGGATACTGAGGTCGTGGCTTCAAGTTACCAAGCTCCACTCTCCATGGCGGCGCCACTACGAGGAAGGATCAAAGAAGATCGTTTTTGTGTAGGGGTCAGCCCTTTCCTACGTTTTGTAATATTCCAGCCCAAAATATTGGGTCTCAAACCAACATTGGGGGAGGGGGGCAACTTGACATAAGGAGGGAAGAGAGTGAGCGCTCTCACAAATATACAAATCAACATCTGTGTAAGGAGCGGACATACACATTCCAGTCTAGTTGAAGCGTCCATATTCAAATTACTAAACACATAGAAGCGATGTGGACCGTCCTGACATCGCCCCACAGCCCGGCCCGCCCGCCGCGGCGAGCTGCGCAGAACTGAGCCAGACACGTGTGGCATGCGACACGTGACCGCCACGCGTTCCGCGCATCTTGGACAGACAGCACGGCATCCGCACAGTCAAGCCGAGAAAAAAAAAATTGCGACCGGAGCTTGAGAAACTGGCTCATTACACGCACATTACCGGCTCAACAGGGCGTCCATAACGGCATAGATATCGTCATAACCGCCATCAGAAATCCGTAACCCAATCTGCACATGTTTTGCGCAGTGGGTTACAAAACACGCAAAGTCGCGGTCAGATGTACTCATGGGTTGTGAAGCCAGGGTAATGGTTGATCCGACCTGCGGGTGGACGGAGATAAACGAAAATGTCTACAAAATGAGTGCTAACTAGTGGCTTCTGGAAATGGCTGATATGAAGCAACAAGTCGGTTTTCTAGAAATGGTTGCAATGTCTATCGCCCGTATACAAGGGTGGCTCCAGTGGGGGAGAGGAGAGGTGACACCGCCGGGTCATAGCTCCTCAAGATGGCCAAGTCGGCAGATAATGACAAATTTCTGAAGATTGAAGCAAACCTAAGCAGCTTTTGTTCAGGCAACTGGTCTTAAATCGCTTCATAATGTCAGGCACGCAACCAGAATTTCCTTAGGGTAATGGGCAAACGTCAAGTTGTCTCCCAAATCATGCAAACTTAAACCAAGCTCCTGCGAAATTCTCCAGTATCTAGCGTAAACCTTTGAGCTCAAACTGTGTGTGGGGGTGGGGGCTTGGTCCTCCCTCTATGTCCCTGCTTGATGCAAGCAGGAGGATAAGTCCAGTACGGTTTTTTAAAAAGAAGGATTTTTTTAAAAAATCTGCCTTCCCAGAGCCAGTCTCGTTCCCATGAGTTGCGCGGCCGCGCGGGGCGGAGGTGCCCGACGCGTAGAGGCACGAGAGCCGTACGAGCTGTGCAGCACGAGATGTATTGTTGCCGGCGAACACGGCGGTGGCGGCGGCAGCCTGGGTGGCGTGGAGGGGCGCGGGTGAGGGTTGGCTGCTTAGTCCTGTCGATTCCGCAACGTTTGGTTGTACCGTCGTACTGTACCGTGTAGTTTAGTATTCGAGTTGTAATTCAAATACAGACTATTTCGGCAACGGGTGTGGTGTCGCAGCTCGGTAGAGCTCAACTGCACGGTAGAGCTCAACGGAGTGCCGTGGCACGCCATAGTCGATCGGCCTCGGTGTGGACGGGGCGAAGACGGCGAAGGGGACAGTGACAGTGCCGACGATGGGCCGCCGATGTACGTGTCGTGTGTGGACTGGTAGCCGGAAACGGAGGATGCTGCTGGCTCGGCTGTAGACGCGCCTGAGCCGGCAGACCGTGCGGTTGGGCCGGCCAGGGACGATCTGGTGCCACTGCGCCGGAGCACCCGCCCGCGGAGGGCGCCACAGTGCCATTGTTGTAATGATCCGTAATGCGCTGTTGTGATCCATGAGAATCGGGGGGAGGGGGGGGGGGGGGTGTTGTGCGGCCGCGCGGGGCGGAGGTGTCCGGCACGTAGAGGCACGAGAACCGCACGGGCTGTGCTGCACGACATGTATTGTTGCTGGCGAAGACGACGGCGGCGGCGGTCGTCTGGATGGCGCGAAGGAGCGCAGACGCGGGTCGGCTGCTTGGTTTCGTCGATTCTGTAACGTTTGATTGCATCGTCGTACTGTACCGTAGCATTTAATATTCAAATTGTAATTCAAATACATCTCACCAAGATAACGTTCTGGACCAGTCTCCACCCAGATAAACCAATCCCGTTACATATTTTCCATCACTCACTTTCTGCTACAATGTATATAAACAGGAGCTAAGCACATTGTTAGTGGCATGAAACGAATCCTGAAGTTCTACAACCGCCTGTTCCGTGGGAGCTAAAACCGCGCTCTCCATACAACCCTTGCCAATTTCTTGGAGAACCAGGTTCTCGTAGTGATAGCAGATGACCTTCGAGGCTAACTCTGCCTCAACAACGGAGAAAGTGCGCAAAATATTGTACGCGGGATAAACGCAAGAGTTTTCCCGTGCTCGCCGCCCCATAGAGCGTCACTAGGCAGCTAGCATACAATTGTATCAGGAACCTTTACCCTCGACACGATAGCCGCAAGACTTTCGAGATCAACTTGAGGTGAATATAGGGTGAACGTAACGTAAGGAAGTCCAAAGTTAATTGTGTGAATAGCAGCGACCGACATGAAAAGACAGCATGTGGCGAACTCCATGGTAAGCGAGGTCTTTGTTAAAATCGCTATTAGATTTCGACAGCAAATTCAAGGCAGGACAGCAAAGAACGCCAGAACGTCCAAACCTGCTGGCATATGAAAATCCTTCCATGATAAAATTTCGCTCACCCTGGCACACGACACGGGCTATTTGATGGCTACGGTTTTGTCTCCAATTATCAGCACGTTTTGGCGTTATGGTGTTTTCTGTCGTTTGGCCTTGATTTCACCTTGCGGGTCAATATCAATTCTGAAGAAATATATCTGTCTCTGGAGTTTGACGCTGGCCATCTGTTGTTACCAGTTCCATTCATTTTCCCTGGCAAATTTGGATGTTCCGGCGTCCCCTGCCGTTTGACCTTTAGCTTGACATTGCGTGGTCAATGGTCAGGACACACACTTAACTCATCACAGAATTTAACTCGGTTTTTCATTTTAAACCAATTTGGCTCCATTTTTCTTTGGCGGTCTGGCCTTCCACACCCTCGGACTTTCATACCTTAATAAAATTTAGCTTAAGCGGCAGTCTGTTTTGAAGGAGTGTCGAATTTATAATTAGCTAGTTATTCACTACGCAGTGAAATGGCGGAAAAAGAACGTCGCCTTTAAATCTTAATGCAAATACATACGTCGTTAGCTTAACGAACAGCTCTGAAGCCACTAGGAGGTCGGCGCGTTCATTCTATTTTTAAGACGGCAGCATTTTAGCATGCCCGAACAGTGCCAAAAGCGGTGCTGATTGGTGCGCCACGCTCGTCTATACTGTTAAGTTAACCTCAGACTCTGCGGGAAGTCGCCTGGGTTGAGAGGGGACGCGATCGGTACCAGGGAGGTGATGCTAGTTGTGCTTGGTGTGCCAGAAATCGAGACGTACGTTTTAATTCATATCGTTATCATATTCTTCCGTGGCCCAACTGAATGGGATGGGGGCTAAGGACACGCTTTGCGCACTTTGTTTGTGAACTCCGAGCAAATTTAGTGTTTATTGCTCTTAGTTTGCGATAAATGGTGCTGAATGTTTTTTGTCGTGATCCTGAAAATTATGCTTTCAACCATGCTGGTTTCACATGTCACTCATTCTGGCAGAACCTCATGCATTATTCATGTAGAGTTTGTTAAAATACTTGAGTCTTACCAGCATTTGGGATTACATATGCTGTAAATCAATGATTAAAAGGCTACAACTTGTTGGCTTGTTGAGTTTGTGGTGGAGACCTTTGTTGGCTTATTGAGTCCATCAGCAGATGGTAGATATATTACATCCCATTTTCACATATTCACACATTGTGTCGAAAGGGAGGACATCTCGTGATGAATATAAATCTACTAAAGTAACTTGAAACTTCCTATTTTGCAATGATTTTGATAGTTGCTGCATGTGCTGTGTTGAGGTGCATGCATCTTAGACATGCAGGCGAGCATTTGAAATGCATATTTTGGGACCTTGTTTTGGGAATTTTGTGTATCTCCTCTTTCACACATTCTTACTGTTGCTCAAAACAAATCTTTGTGAATAGTACATCAATTAAGAATAAATGTTGTGTCATACATGGTGCATCAGTTTATCATTTAAGTGAATAAAATATGTTTAAGGATGATCAGCAGGTGTTCATGACTATAGACTGAGTAGGTACTAGTCCCAGTTGTTTTGCCAAAAAGTGCCAGAAATATGGAAATGTTTGCATGGAACAGGCTCACCCACAATGCCATGTTGTATTTGATAGCACAGTTTGAGTGCTCACATCTCTTCACCATTCACCATTGGAATATACTGTCCATTGGCATTGTGGTCAGACAGACTGAAGGGCTGATAGTGTATAGGCAGTACCAGACATCTCACAGGCATACAGACTTGCTTGCAAATGGCTAGATGGCCAGAGGAGGCAAACCTGACATTGGGTTGCTGTGCCATCACTTCATATGGTAAAAAGGGTACTGTTAAACTCTACCTGGCCAAAAGGCAGACATGAGATAAATGGACCAAACTCACATGCCCTCAAAGTGATGCACAGTGCTATTCAGGGATTAAAACGAGATCCTGTCTTGTTTGTGATCTTCATGAATGACCTGCTGCAGATTGTGTCAGAAGGTAAACTCATTATGCATGATATTGATGCCCAATTCCTGGACACCAATATGCCATCAAACATGCAGGCCCTCAAAACACAGGTCAAACATTTTCTCTCTGGTAATGAAATGGTCCATCAGAATGGCAGAGGTTAAATGTCACAAGCTGAAATGATCATCAGGAAATCTTCCCATCAGTATCTGGCCACCCATTTCTCTGTTTGTGTCAAAAGTAATGAAATGCAACCTTTTCCCAACATCAAAGTTCTCAATATCAGTATCAACCCACATCTAGCATGGGACAAGCATATCACCATTGGTTGATAGTTGGCAGAAGTTGGGTGCTGCCCTATGGTGCTACTCGGTGTAGCTAGGAGGCACCTCAGGTGGCCCCAAGATACAAAGCGTATGCTCATCAAAACATTGCTCTTCCCCCACGTGCGTTAATGCATCGGCGTACGGCGTCTGCAAGGGGTGCAGACAAGTCGTGTTCAGACAATGCCAGATTACCCTTATCGTGACTGGCCTGGGCCGACGTGAGCACGTAACTGCAGTGTCGGGAGAGCTGGAATGGACACAGGCCACTCACACGCTCCATGAGCACGGGATCAAAACAGTGCGCCGCCTGCTTGGGGCACCCGACACGCCAGATATTATAGGCGTGCAAAGACGGCCAGCCGCTCCGGCACTCAGGCGACTTGGTCAGCTACAGCTGCCCCGCGTACGGGCCGAGTGGCTCGGACACGGTTGTCGTTACTGAGCCACCAGCAACTGGAATCGTGCCTCGCCAGGCTGCCGTCCGCTCAGGAACGTGATGGTCCATAGACTGTGCGCAGGCCGAGCATAAGTCAGTTGCATGCCACTGGCAGGGGGGGCGGGGGGGCGCCTTGTCAAGTCGGGTGTGGTGTGCAGATTCGTTTGTTCGTTAATTCGAGGGAATCTCATGGGCCAATACTTGCAGAATAAGTTTTATTCGTAGCGCACGTTCGCGATAAATGGGATCGTAAAGTCTCTTCGTACAATTGAAGGGGATTTTTAAAAAATCAATTGCATGGATATTCCGAAATGCGGGCGTCATTTTACCTATCTGGACGGTCTGTTGAGGGTGTGAACTGCAAGCTTGCTGAGCACGTGTGCCCGGGGCTGCTCTACCCGTAGCCATCATTCTGAACAGTAAGAAAAACATGGGTCACAGCAGGCCTTTGGCCGGCTTGTTGGAAATTGTCCCAGATGCTTGGTCGCACAAATCTCCACCATCTTATCCCACACATCGTATGAGGTGTTCGAATGACTGGCTAAGTTGGCGTCTGGCATCGTTGAGTCGTAATTGAGATGTAGATGGGCTGGTGTGGGAAGTGATGCATATTGGTATGTCTTTGAAGCGTTTACGCACCTATTTTATAACCGTGTTGTCCCCAGAAATGGTCTGTCAGGCCAGACGGACCGGAATGAAGTACCTTTTTCGAGCTAAGTGCGTGGTATGTCCAGGTTTATAACCCTGTACTGGCATGAAAATGGTCACGGCATTATATAACCCTGCACGCACGGACAGCATGTATCTGCCGGAGGCAAACGAACGATGGATCAATAGTTTTTAATAATTGTAGAATATTGCAGGTAGCTGGCAGAAATGTGGGCCCGACCAGGCCCGTGCGCACGATCTCCCAATTATTGACGCGTCGAGCTTCCGTCTGTGCCACCGACACCGAATAGTATCCACCTTCGCAAAAAGACTTAGCATTATATGAAAAATTGATTTGTAAGCAAGACATGCCTCCCATTTTAATAAGAATGAAAGGTGAAGAGATTTAATGATGTTGTGAGTTAAGAATTCTCCCAGGGGCTCTCAGCTCATAGTACCATTAGGTTTGTTGTTATTTAGGGTTTTTGGGCGCGCCGACTGCATAGGTCATATTGCGCCCACCATTAGGTTTACAATTCAGCATGATCGCTACATGTAACCGGCCTCGAATATATTAGGAGGTGCCTAGTCAACGACGTTATCATGGCTGTTATTCGCCACTATTCTCATTGGGACAGCTTTGAACGTGTTGTTTCAATGCACTAATTTTGTTTTGCAATTTTTGCGGATAACGTTGTATAACTATTTGCTCCTGGCATATGGCACGTCCATTGTTTTCAGCATGGCAACTCCCCAGTCACATCAACAAAACAATCTTTATTTTGGTGCCAAGTATTTGGAAATCGGTAAAACATATTCAATCCGCATGTCCCCGAAAATCCCGTGCGAAGCACGCGGGCTTGTGAGCTGATCCAGATGGGAAAGGTGTGCCGCTCAGTGGTAGTACTGCCAGCTCACTTCGGTGGGGGCCGAGCCAAACGACGTCGAATCGACCTGTTGCTCCATCAGTGCGTAGCCTTTCATGTCCTGAGATAAAAGCCGGCTCATTGCAAGGAATGCCATCATATGCCACATTGGCATCGTCTCATTCCAAGGTCATTCGATGCTTTCCAGTTGGACGCTATCCAGTGACCTTGGATGCCATTGCGCCTGACTGATTTATGTCTCCCCCCCCCCCTCCAGATTTAGTTCTGACCATTTGGTGTTGATGGTCGGGCGAGAGCGATGGAAGAGCAACGATTTTCTGCGCGGAGATAATTAACTGGGGCGCACACACCAGGCTGGGGATGCGGATGCCTGGGGATGGTTGCATCTTATAAATAGTTCCCGGGCTCCCTCCGTGTGCAGCATCATCGCGGCAAGTTACGTGGGGAAATGTTCTGGTGTTGTCGCGCTGAGCTCAAATGCCCTGCGGGGCTATTTTTGGCCCCTGGTTACACAGCGCTTTGTGGATTGGCGAAACGCAAAACAATCCGCGAAAGAACGCGGGCGATATTCATAGCACGCACATGCCCTGAGGTTTGGGTGAAAAATGGGTCCTGCAGGAGCGGGGGAGGGGGAGCACGTCTTGGAAAATGCGTGTTGTGGAGACGGAGGCTCAAGCTCGCGTATTGTGTGTAACTTGGGGATTAGTCATCACATCGTCCGAAAAAGGTGTGATACGCTCTACATGATAGCCACATAAACGCTGCTTTCAGCAACTCTGTAGGAGCAGCAATTTTCGTTTCGTTTATGGTAACAGGCGCGGTAGTTAGGCTTCTTCTGAGGTGATGAAATCGATCTTCCTATATTCGCATATCTAAGAGTTCGGTGCGTGGGTCAAATGCGACTGCAGAAGGAAAGCATAGGAGTGCCATTCTGCGGCAAGTCGACAGGTGAAGGGATCAAAATAGCACCCCGTGATTTGGTTTTTCGCTGAAAGTATCAGTTGGGGTTGTCTTATCCCCCGAATTCAGCTGTCCCGGAGTTAGAACGGAAATTCGGAAATGATAAATTCAGCAACGGCGAAGGAGTTAATGCCTCGGGCATTTTTAGGGGGCCAGCTGACAAGGGTGACTGAGCGTCCAAAACTCAAATTTATTGTCTTTCGCCCATACATTTGGCTTGGGTACGCTCGCAGGCACATATTACCTCCTTACTCTTACCATGCGTCCCGCATATCCGTCTGTGGGCAGACGGTGAGCCGATTGTGCCGCACACCCGTGTACGGGACAATCGGCCGCGGGCTGCGTGCACCGTGCAGTGCGTGGCGTCCACCGACCAATCGGGGCTTCTTTCGCGCCCGTGTGACGTCATTATTTACATTAGCATGTTAAAGTATGTTCCGAATTACTGGCTTTTAAACTCGGAACTCGTGTGATTTGTAAGAATAAGCTAAGTTTTTGGTCACGGGTTACTGCGGGTACTGTCTGCATTGGGACGCCTGCCTGCCGGACGGCGGGATCGTAACGCCCATGTTCGTGGACAGCGCTGCGCCGGCAGGTCAGGTCGGACCGTGCTGCCATTGGCGCCATCTAACCTTTTCTGATATGTCGCAGGGTGGACATTGCGACGGGTATCGGTGTGACAGGGAATATGCCAAAAACGGTCGCCTTCCATGAATGTGGGAAGGGGAACAAGGCCCCATTTCAGGAAAATGACTGGACACATGTCTCCAACCCCGGCGATAGACCGATGCTGAGTTTCACTTAACTGCTCAAACTGATTCAACGGGACCAAATCAAATTGGCTGTCCGTTCCATCCTAGTGCGATACCCGGCGTCTGTGGAGCAAGCATTAGTCTTTCAAAGCATGCTTGTTCTGATAAAAATGTGCCAAGTAGCTGGTAGAGAATCGGATTTATTCAAGTTTGGTTTCATCGTGGGTTTCACGGGTTTTCGTACTTCATGAGGCAGTGCCGATGGCGTTGAAAGGGCTGATTTTTTATTAAGTTGCTGTAACTTAGCCCGAGTTTAGTTTTCATTTCGTTTGAACCTTGGTGAGTTTAGTGTTCAGTTTGAATCCGAATCTCAAGTTCAGAATCTGGGTCCGCGTTAGATTGCCATGCAGCCGTGTTCTAGTCTGGACCTAAGTCTGTATCCACTTTTTTAAGAAACTGGTGGGTCCACGACCTAGTCGAACTCAGTGGTGCAATTGATCGATTTATTCCAGTCTCTGTCCAACAGGTGATTGTCCGACTCCCAAGTTCGACCAAGTCCGGCTGGACACAAGACCACAACATAGTCGAATTATAGGTGGGTACATGTGCGGCGTCCTGCCTGTATACATACCGCTCGAGCGATGCCGTCGCATCCGCCTGTACTTTTACTTACCAACCACGTTACGTTTGTATGGCGATGGCACTCGTAGTTCGACTAAAAGTTGTTTGTTTCACGTGCCGTAGCAGCATACCACAACCGCCAAATAGACAGGCGACACCGGCTCTCTAGCAGGCTGCACAACTATTGTAACATTCAAGGATGTAAGCAGTGTTCCCCTTTTAGCCGAAGCGAAGAGCTATTGCCGTATGGGACGAACGTTACTGCCCCCAAACGGAGCGGCTTTATCCGTCATTCTTGATAGTTATATGATGCTATTAAGTTTGTGTCAAAAACGCTGCTTTGGTTAATTAATTAATTTGATCGAAATGGGTTGTTCCCACCTGAAAGTTATTCTAGTGCTACTAGAGTAAGTGGAACGAGCAGAACGTTTCAATTCCAAAGGCAGCTTTTCAACTTAAACAACTTCCAATCAAGTGAAACACTCGCACTTTGCTTGAACTGTAACGCTATGGACTAAAACTTTGTCGTAGCTGGATTACTATTAATGCCATCCGCACTCACCGCTCATGAAGCGCGTGTGAATGCCGGAAGTACAGCATCGTTACGGGAGAAGAAGAGAAGTCTTTTGATGGGAAATATGTCAAATAAGTCGAGAAAGTGTGATACAACTTTGTACACGTTTGTTGTAGTTTTGTTTGTTTCAATGGTCGTAATACCTTTTATCAGCGTGGTACAATAACCAGGAAGCCCTTGCGAAATGAGTTTCCACTGAAGCAGCAAAGCGAGGTCTGTAGCTTGTTCTGCTCCAAGGAGTCGGTCTGATTTTGCTCGTTAAAATTTTGTCAGGAAAATTTGGTGAGATATGACACATATTAGCTACGCGCAACTTTCAGCACCTTGCATTAAGGCCGCCAGCACAATTAACGGAGCGAAGGCGATACTTTGGGCCTCGGAGATTACACTGATCAAACGATTCAGTGTAAAGGAGGGACGGTGCTTTGATCAGCTACCAGCCAGGGGCTAGTCCTTCTCACGTTATCTCATACGAGGTAGCGGCGTTCACTCCTACTGGCACGTGCACCGGCGTGCTAGAGGTCATTTGTTTGCCAAGATTGCTTTAGTTTGCTGCCTAGGTTGATTTGATGGGTTCTTTGTATACTGCCCAGCAATGACGCTCAATAATATGTAAGTGGGCTTATGTTAACGCAGATTAAAATCGAAGTGACAGAAGAGGGTTGCTCGGCTGTTTATCCACTGGGAAAGACGTCCGAAGTTGTGTATTTCGTTGTGCTTGTCTGCTACACTGCTTTTACCATTTTTCCTGAGCGGTGGCTGGCCACTTCGCCATCGAAGTGTCTTATAGGTCCTAAAGACCCTTGCTATTCCTCTGTGTAGTCTGGCCGTCAAGCAGGCACGGTGTAATGGCTCCATGTTTCTGGGAGACCTATAGTACTTAATGACACCTTAACGTGCGCGATGATGTCGCGTACTTGTTCGCAGAGCCAGGCATGTCATCACCTGCAAAGCCCACAAAGATGTCTTTTGCTAATTGCTGCAAACGTCGTCCCATCGCCTTTGATCCGGGCAGTGTGGAAACAGCCGCAATAGTTTGATTCATAACATAAGGCCACGCACGGTCAGCGGCACGGCCGGAGGGCGGACGCGACATTACCTCATCTCCTCAGTCCGCGCCCCGCCGGTAATCGCCCGGCACCGCGGCTCGTTTCGGCCGAATGTGCTCGGAGGTCGCCGCCCACGGTCGGCGGACGCTTGCCGCGGATGTCCGGGACGATCCAATCGCGACAAGTGTGGGCAGTGGCGCGTGACCTGGCTCCGAAGCGGCCCGGGCCCCGCCCGCGCCGCCCTGTGCCGCGCCGCGACCGCCGCGGCGTGGTCGGGACTCGGCCCCGCGCTGGCGCCGGCGTGACGTATAGCCCGTCAGTTGTCGGCTCCGGCCATGTCGGACATTTGTGCGCCGCCGGCCGGCCGCTGGACGGTCGTCAGACCACGCTGTGATCGGCAGCAGCCGGCCGGGCAGGGGTCAGGTCACGCTGTGAGCGGCGAGCGGGTAGCGGCGGTCCGGCCAGTCGGCTGGCGGCGGCGGCGGCGGCGGCGGTGTGATGCAGCCATTGTGCGGCGGCGCGCCAGACCTAACGTCGTTTTCTCTCGCCGGTAGGTAGAGCGCTGCCAGCCGCCGCCGCCACCGCCGCCATCGCCATGAACTGCCTGGACGTGGATGACAAGACGGAGCTGGACCACGAACGGCAGCGGTACCCGTTCTCAGTGGTCTGGACGCCAATCCCTGTGCTCACCTGGCTCTTCCCCATCATCGGCCACATGGGCATCGCCACGTCGGCGGGCGTGATCCGCGACTTCGCTGGCCCCTATTTCGTCGGCGAGGACAACATGGCGTTCGGCAAGCCGACCAAATACTGGCGGCTGGAGCCTCAGCGCGCGGCCGGCGGCGTGTCCGGCTGGGACCGCGCCGTCGCCGAGGCGTCCGAGCTCTACTCGCACCGCATGCACAACCTCTTCTGCGACAACTGTCACTCGCACACGGCGCGCGCGCTCAACCTCATGGCGTACGACGGCAGCATCAGCTGGAACATGGTCAAGCTGGCCTTTCTCATGCTGGTGCACGGCCGCTACACGGGCGTGTGCGGCTTCCTCAAGACGTGGGTGCCGTTCCTGATGCTGGGCGGCGCCATCGTCGTCTTTCTCTGGGTGACGCACGTGTTCTAGTGGCCGGTGCGGTGAACAGCACCACGCTGTAGAGATGTGTTTGGTCTGGCGGGGTGCGGGAGCCGCGGCCAGTGCGTGGAGGAGGGAGCGGCCGCGCCCTGAGAGAGCGGCGCCAGCGCCCGTACAGACTGCTCCCCAGCCGCAAAGCGAAAAGCGGGATCGATCTGTGGCGAGCATTAAGCGTAAGCTGGATTGCTTTCGTTGTGTGGACGTTGTGCTTAAGTTGCGTGGCACGCGGCAGCACCTAATCTGGAGGCACAGTGCTGTGCCTAAGTCGGTCGATGGCGGCCTGATGTATGTAGCGAGTTGGTTGCAAGCGGCTCGTAACGGACGGCCTGGTGATCCATGCACAGGCGCTCGCTGACCTTTCACCCGCCATACGGGATTAGAGGCCTTCCTGCGACTCCCTGCGAGGGCCTTCCGCAGGTCGTACGACAGACTGCGCCCGGCCCTCCGCGGGTCGCACGACAGACTGCGCCCGGCCTTTCGCAAATCGCACGACAGACTGCGCCCGGCCTTCCGCAGGTCGTACGACAGACTGCGCCCGGCCTTCCGCAGGTCGTACGGCATACTGCGCCAGGCATTCCGTGATATTGTTTTGGAGTGCGGTTGGCGTTGTAAATACTCGTACATCATGCCATTCCCATTTGCTGTTCTAAATGCGCGAGTATCTACCATATATGTAGCCGTAATTCAGATGTGGTAGGGAGGGGGGAGATTAAGGGAGTATGTGGCCCCAAAAATGGCGTTTTGGATGGAAAGTTGGAAACGCGACTATCTTGCGACGAATGTGAAAACAGCAGGTCATTTTGGCAAAAATGCGGGGTTTGTCTGACGCATCTCCCCCGTTCCCACCCCTCCGCTACTGCTTACACCTATGGTTACAGCTGTTTAAATTTGCAACTGTAGCACAATCGGCCGCGTAACTTATTGTCAGTGGCATTGCAGAACACTGCGGGCTGCTCGACAAAACATGACCTTTGTTGGCCGACGCCCAGTCTCAGAGAAGTGCCGTTGCTCGTCGTTAGCGGTTTGGTGTCATTGGGTTGCACCGCCTGACGTAGGGGCCGTAAGCACATGTACTGCATACGCTGTCTGGATCGTTGAGCGACAAATACGGGAGTGACAAATACGAATACAAATAATACGGGCGTGACGACACGTGAGGTAGCCGATTCGGTTGTGGGCTGCACGCCGTCCGGCGAGCCGGACGCGCTCCCCGAGTTCTGTGGTGGACCGGGGTATCACGCAACTAGTAGCCCGTGACGAGATGCGGACCAGGCCACGCTTCCCACGACCCCCCCCCCCACCCCACCCACCCCAACCTCTGGGGCCCGCCCGCTTCAGGGAACATTTGTGGAGCTGGTGTCGCCCGCTGGCTGTTCGCGGAAGGTTCGCAGGGCTTGTTGAAATGCATCCACGTCGGCGTCCCCGCAGATACCCGGCAGTCGTGGTGCACTTTCCATTTTATTGCGGCGAGATTGGATTGCGTCAGTGTCTGCGTTGCCTGAAGTGTCATCAGGCCGTCAATATGATGACGCTGCGTTCTCCCTCATCGAGCAAGTGGGGATGTTGGAACCACAAGCCCGGATCTGTGCGTTCCCTAGACACGCTGGACGACGGCGGCGAGTAAGCCCTGGCAATCGGAATCCTGATCGTGCACGTGTGGCATGGCGTTTGAATGAACATGACAGCACGACGGGTCCGGACGAGGCTCCTGCTCCTCCGCTGCTGGGGACTCGACTCCCCGCTCCGCCTGCACGGGTCACGTCCACCGGCCTCCGACCGCCGCGCCGGAGAGTGCCTTAAGGCTTCCATTCGCTGGACACACCAACACCGTCGTATACACGGTCACGCTCAGTCCTGAGCGTCGCGTCGTGTCGGCATTCGTCCTCCGCCGCCCTCCGCGCCGCTGGACAGGTGCCCCTTCTCGGACGCCTCAGGACAGGCCCGCCTTCTGGACACGCCCGCACGCGCCGCCCAATCCAGGCGCGGCCGCGTGCCAGGCAACGGCCCCCTCACTGGAGCGGGGCGGCAGCCCCAGAAGGCTTGGTGCCATGTGGACGAGTTCCCTGCCACCCAAAGACGGAAATTCTCAGTTGGTATGGACACGACCGGATGAGAACACCCAACATTTCACCAGTTTGTATTCGAACTAAACCATGGACAGTGAGCCTCACGTGGACTGTGAAAATATTGTCAGCTTCAGCGGCACCAGCTAGGCAATCCTAGAAGTTAATGCATAGAAATTGTGACCTGAGGTCAGGTCACATACTCCTGGGCTAGCTTATTTGACACAATTATTTCCGTTCGTGCTACAAGTTCTCAAACACTGTCATCAACCAGCGTGGTGGCGCAGCCGTTCAAAAGTGCAAGCAGCTTTCTGCCTATGACAACATCGAATTCAAGCGTAAGCAATATATGATGAGCCGCGTGCGTGCGTGTGTATGCGTCTGTGTGTGTGAACTGAGCTTTTGAGTTCAATGCTGTGAAGAGTACCGTGCTTGCTGCTTACTGCTTGTAATTTCGCCCCTGGAAATTATTGCAAGTCAGCGGGGGCTCAGCGTTAAGCGGATGATTGTGGGCGTCCGTGCATTGTTGAAAGCATTCAGATATCACCCTCCGTTGTTTGACAACGCCTCCCATCACGTGGTTGCCTCGAATACACATGTACGTATGCAATAGAACATCCCTAGTAACCAGGACGGATCACAGTACTATGTTGCATGCGACTGAATGAAGGCGAAGTTGTCAGGTGTGGAAACTGAACCGGCGCCCTCTGGCTTCAATGGCAGACTTTGTGTAACTCGAGTAATCCAGCGCGTTTTTATGACCGTCGTCCAGCCACGGCCGCGGTGCCGCGACGGCACGCGGGTCGTGTTCGGAGCCGGCTGACGGTGCCGTCGATCGCCAGATGAGCCGCGCCGTCGCGCCGCTGCTGCGGCTGGCCGCCAGCGCGCTGCCGCCGGCGCCGTGTCGCCACCTCAACTGTAACCGGGCGGTGGTGAGCCGCGTCCACCGGCTGCGCCATCCGCAGCTGTACCCGACCACCGTGGTGCTGGCCGACGGCTCCACAGTCACGACGCGTTACCACGAGCCCAGGAAGATCATCAGGGTAGGTGAACTACTGCATCCAACTTACCGAGCTTGCGGGACCGCAGTTCCGGAACGCATTATTTAGTTAGCTGGGCTGAATTTTCAGCATTGTTGCAGCCGACGGATGGGGGTGGGGGAGGGGGCGGGCTCCGAAGTTTCTGGCTCTCCGGCCTCTACGGCAGCGTCGGGGCTATTGTTTCACCTTTTGAAGTTAAGGGCGGGTTTCTGGGTCTTGGCCGCCATAGAGGAACCGACCGTTGTGACGTTCACGCTGTCGCCGATTTCCGTTCCGCCACGCGGTTGTCCTTGCTGTCTTCTAGCGTCTTCATGCTTCATTTCCCGGCATCAGGCAGCCGGTAATCGGATGAGCGCAGTGTGGTGTGGCCGCCGCGTGCCATCACGCGTGACCATCGACCGCCGACGCGGCCCGGCCGGACCGTCCGGCGCCGCGGCAGCAGGGTCCGGGTGCAGCCCGCAGCCGAGCTGAGGCGGGGCAGGCCCTGGGGTCGGAGCTGGGCCGCGGTTCCAGGGGGCGTTCGCTGCGTGGGCTCTGTGATGCGTACTGAGTGTGCGGTGTAGACACGCCGCCGGCACGTGTCGCCGGGCTGCTTTCCCCTCCTTCACATGACATTTTTGGAACAGCCGCAAAGCTGGTTGCATAAGCCTCATGAGCTTGCATTACTTCGTGACGCTTTAAGTTACGACTGCAGTCCACGGTAATTGCATTTCAGCCACCACGGCAATTGCATCAGTCACCATAAATTTCAAAAAGTTGGTTTCATAGTTCTCTCTGCAACAGATCGCCCAAACATGTACAAAGGCCAGCATTAGAATCAGTTTGTGGAGTTACATACATGCCGCAAAACACTACTGGTGAAGGAGGCTAACCTTGACCTCGGATGCGAAAAGGGCCGATGGAAATGTTATTTATTTACAGTTGCAGGATACATTTTGCGACGCCTGCCTTTTACTCAAACTCCATTCAGTCGCGGGGTTGGGCATACCCATCACCTGTCGCGGAATCCCCAAGCGGTCGCGGAGTCCCCAAGCTGTCGCGGAGTCCCCAGGCTAGTGCGGAGTCCCCAGGCTAGCGCGGAGCCCCCAAGCTAGCGCGGAGCCCCCAAGCTAGCGCGGAGCCCCCTCCCGTCATAGGAAGGGTCAAGTGGGCGTGGCGCCAGCACGCACGTGGAACGGAAATCGATGAGCTTCGTCCGGCCGGATGTCACCGTACTGATCGCGCGATGTCCCGTCTGAGCCTGCACTTTGCTAGCCCGAGAATGACTGGTCCGTGCTGAACTCGCCAGCTGATTGTTGTCAGCCGAGCGGCGCCGCCTGCCAGCTAACTCCTGAACTCCAGTCGAGCGATGGTCGATCCGTCGTTTTCGGTGAACTCAGCCACTGACCTGACCCCATGGCGCCACCCTGACCCCTGACCCTCGGATGTCTCCAGCTGCCGCTGGACGTCAGCACGCTGTCGGAGCAGCAGAGACTGTTGCGACTGCAGCGGCGCAAGCCGCGACAGAAGGTCACCATGGAGGAGGACGTGGACGACAGCTTCGACGCGAGCCGCTATCAGAAGTTCTGGAAGCGTTGAGCACCCGCCACCGGCGTACTAATGAGGCAACACAACTAGTTGTTTACGGTCGCGTGTGCCGGGTCGATCTAGAGGCGATTTAGCTGATGCCAAGGCGGCCAGCGCAATGCTTGGCCAGCCTGCTGAACTGTCTTCTGAATACGAATGCGCTGTCGCGACGCGGCGTTTCACTGGCGGGTTCGCAATGATTGATAACGTCACTTATGTCGACAAAGCCGCCGCGGTCTCGCTCGGTCAACACTTTTATTGGATGGCGGTTGCATTCGCAAAACTCCTGCGGGCAGGACACTTATCTTTATCTATGGAAATATGTGTATGTCTCTACCTATCTATGTAAGTAAGTACTTATCAGACAACGCACCTACAAACGGAAAGAAAGGGGCGGCGGATACTACGGACGAATGCTTTCGTCAACGACAGCTTCGCAAACTTCTGACCTATTCGCTACCGAAGTATGCTGCGCCGATGCATGCTTTTCAGGCGCTTTTAGTGCTAGTGTCTACTCTCTACGGACATTTAGCCACCTGTCTTGAGTGGTCATCAACTCCCGAGTGCTTTGAGAATGCTGCGTGATGCTACGATGGCTACAGCATGGGTCTGCCGCTTGAGGAGACGTTTGACAACTGACGAGAAAGTGCCGGCACAAAATCACAATTTGACTAGAAACTTGACAATATTATATATAAAAGACGCTCTGTCTTGACCCAGGGCGCCGCCCACCGCTGCCACCGCTCCAGCGCCGGGCCCGACCGGGCCATGGCCGCTCAGCGTCACCGACATCACCTCCGCACGGCCGCCTTCTTCTTGGTGGCCTCCTCGGCCTCGGCCTCCAACATTCTGGCCCGCTTCTTGCCCAGCGGCGTCTTGGTCAGCCACGTGTAGTACATCTGCTGCTGCTCCCTGCGGGCCGACAGCCGACGTTCAACAGCGCGACAGTCACTGAGCCGACAGGTCCCGCGGCGACCGCCGAGTAGTTTGTGGCCGGCAAACCCCAGGGAGATGAGGGCTAGTAACAGCGCCGACAGACCGCGCGACCAAGGCTGGCGCGCCCCAGTGACCGGACGGACCGAGCGCTGGGCGAACACGTGCAGCTGCAGGGCGACGAGCCGCGGAGGGCGGGAGGGGGGGGGAGGGGGTGGGGGGACACGGCACGATGCAGCAGCTGGCTCCCACGGTGGTACGCGGCAGAAGCACGAATTTAAACCTATGCACCACTGGCCCCGCAAACAAACTCGTTTCATGTGCTGGGTACATGCCGGTGCCGATTTGCCAGCGGCGCCGCGTGAACTGCGCGCACGTCGTCGGCCGATGCTAGCAGCTCGTCGTGGCGCACCTCATGACGGGCTGCAGGGTGGAGAGCACGGGGATGAACTCGGCCGTCTTGAGCGGCCGCTTCCTCAGCTTCACAATACGCTTCTCGGTGACCACCTGCCGGAGGGCGCCGCCCCCCCAATCAATGTAAGCGCTCGGTGGCGTGCCGGAGGCGCATTCACGCGGCGGAAACGCCTACACTTGCCACCCATTGCTGACACGAGCGTGCCTGATGAGGCGTGCCACGAACGCCGCCGCGGCCCACGTCTGCCGCCCGGACGGGCACCGCGCGTGGGGCGCGCCTCTGCGGTCGTCCGGTCGATTCTCAACCGCGTGTCAGCACCGGCGCGGCCCTGCGGCTCGTCTTCCGCACGGCGAGCACCGTGCGCGCGCCGAGCGCCGTGCCGAATGCCGCGACGCGCCGAACGCGGCCGGCTCGCACCGTCCACGCGCCGCACGCCAAACGGCGTCATTGGAGGCGCGCAACAAGCTGTCCGAACCTGGTATCGGCGTGCGGGTGGTGGCCCACGGGTACCGAATAGCGTTTTTCATCGTAGTGAATCTGAACTGCGGACAAACACGTCTTTCGCTGGAAGAATACCGGCGCACATCAGCCAAAGCACGCGCCAGCAGCGCCGATACTGATTCAGTGCCCTCGGTGCGTGTCCAACATGGGCTGTATCACTGCCACTGCCCGACCAAAGTCCACCGGGTCCGGTGCTGAAATCAGCTGACGTGGGCTGAGCACCGGCTGCCGACACGCCACGAGGCCGAGATGTCCCACACCCGGTCTCGTCCAGCCATCGTCAGCCCGGTACTGCCGCCCTTGCTGAGCACCTCAGCACCCAGTCCGGGCAGCTAAGATCGTGCGCCGGCGGGTTGAGCTGGCGGCGGCCGCCGCTCTGAGCTGGCACCGTGATGAGGCGTACCGTGCCGGGTCGCGCGTCGCGTCAAGCGCTGGCGACCGTGCCGACCGCGGCCAGGCCCCAGCCAGCGGCGCAGTCGGCCAAGCGGCACAGCACGCCATGAGACTGGGCTGTGGCACCGCTGGAAAGGTCACACGGGCCCCAAGGCGACCATCACAAGGTGTAAATCACACTGTTTAGCGCGAAAGAGCACGGAACAGCTGCAGCGACGTCGTTGGGGGTTTAGCCGGAATCCCTAGGAACTCGTTCAGTCACTCAGCGCGGCGGTTCAGCTGGTCGATGACGATACTCTCAACAGTACTGCGTCTCAAGCAGGATTATGCAACCGCGCAGTCGCGACGAAAAGCACAAATGATCGCCCATTCGTCTCCGCTGTGCCAGACGTCTTCGCTATGCTATGCACAGCGAAGACGGCCTGACAACCCGGCACGCACAAGCTCGCAAATCCGACTGAATACGGTCTGATGGCCGGCCAGGCAAACGTCGGAATCACTCATTCAACATCCGGGCCGGTAGAGCCGCGTCTGGTCCGGCGCGCGCGAGCCAGGCGCCGCGCACCGCCACGGCTAGCATCGATCCCACCCAGCCAATACGACTGGGGGATTTAATGCTGCGACAAATTGGACGACGGAAAAGGTGAGACATACTGGCCGGCCCCTCGACGACTAATCTATGTCGAGTGGCTCGGCCTCCGCCTGGCTGTGCGGAAAACCGAGCCCCAGCAACTCGATGTGATCACGCGTCTCTAACACGCCCCCGGGTGGCCGGCTAGATACCCTTCGCTCGGATGGGGGGTCAATTTGACCCCCCCAAGATCTCCGGAACTAAGAAAGCTAGAGACACTAAATTTGCAAGGTGTGTTGACCTGTACGTGAACCCATTTAGGTCAAAGTTTGAGGTTCATAGGTCATGACCTCCGTGTCAAATAAAGTCAACTTCTAAGTTGGGCTCCAAAGCGCCCCCAGAACTTGGATCACTATTTTTAAGCAAAAGTCCACATGCCAGTTAAGGTCAGTGACCTTGTTTGACATTTTAAAGGTGATGGTGACCAAAATCATATAAAACTGCTCTGAGTTGTGTATTTGAGTAAGCGACAAGGATAACGCTAGGCACTATGTTTCTAAAAACAAAATCTTGACCTGGGTTATTTTAGGACAATAACCCATTCTGACCTCTAAGAAGTCCATGGACAATATATGGCGCAGTTCCTGCAGTCAATAAATTCGAAAAGTGCGCCAGAGGCCATCCCATACTGCAAACACCGGAGTAAAAAAAACCGGCTGGTTTTGATCTTGGTCTGACCTTTGTACCTGACCTTAGGCCAACGCAATTTTCTCACTCAATATTGGTGTTGCCTAAGAAAGCATCTAAGAGATGTATGGCTTCGTCTAACACTCCGTTGTCGCATCAGATTGAATGATTCCCTAGAAATTGACTTCACTGAAACCATGGCCTGACTTTGACCTGCCATAGGTCAGCGACCCTACCAGGTACATCTAAATCTTTTTTGCCAAATGATCCGCTACTCGATTGTCTACAGCTACGTCAAACTTGGCGCGGCTGCGCCGCGCTGTTCGGAAACCATTCTGGAAAAACCTTCGGAGGGGTCAATTCGACCCCCCATCCGAGCGCGTGTTCAGGTTGGTTAACAGGCAAGCGCGGACAACGAACAATAGGCACGACATATTGCGTATTAAATGCATAGTATGCCGTTATCCTAGCCGGCGATCACGCCAACATGCAAATGCACAACATGTACAATTGTGTCGATGTAGAAGTGAATCACTAGGCTTGCTAAGATCAAGGGAAATAATGCCGCTGCCGTCGCACATGATTTCGCAATTACCGCTGCGATGGCTGCGAACAAAGCGCACAAGACGTTTCTCCAATTTTTTGGCACAAGAGACGAACAAAGTAAGCGGCTGTTTTATTTCAGGTGGCGCACGGTAATATGGGCCGAGGAGACCGCTGCACAGCGGTGTTTTTTTGTGTGTCGAAAACGTGCACATGGTGTGCGTCAAAATAGATGACATCACTAATTATTTCGATACATCGACATGAATGCCATCGGACCAAGTCAACGAAACCAAACCTTTAATACAGCTGGGAATAATTCAGAGACCACAATCCCAGGGACAACACCCAGATCAGGAAATGGTGTATGTCACATGGCAAGGTATCGCCAAAGGTGCACCATGCTGGGACACTTCAACCTGCCGAACAGTGCAAGGGCTGTAACCCGGGTTTGTGTTCTGCGGATCGATCTTTCGTGGACTGTTATCAGGGCGTTAAAATAATAATGGAGCTGCCTTCACCTTCAACGCAAAAACACTGCGAGAAATCACAAAGGGGAAAATTTGGAAGTCATAACAAGTCATGTTTGAAACGTTCAAGGCTGGGGGATTAAAAATATGTACTACGTATACGATGAAAACGCCATTTGGCATGCTCCATACAGACACGGGCACCACAATATCAAATGGATAGTGGAACATTGGAAAGAGTGTAGTGTAGGGGACTAGAATGGTAAGAGGAATCAGGGGAGTGGGGAACGCGGATAGATTGACTGGTTTGGCCTTATAATCCCTGTCATAGGCCCTATACATACAGCGGATGAGTTTTTCTGGTTATTGACAAGCTGCAAGCGAGCGAGATGTTATTGTTATCCATTTGGAGCTTACAAAATCACGAGCATGAGTTTGAGTTAAGAAAGCAGAAGTGTAGAACGGCATGCAATGAACATTTTTTCAGTCAATGAGTAATACATATTCTAAACCGGTTGCTCTCATACGTAGCTGGAAGTCTGACATCTTAGGACAAAAAGGAGCGCTTTAACAAAAAATGCAGGCGTTGTCTCTGAAATAAACCACATCGAATACGCGACGTAAAGCAGATCGATATATTACACGTATATATCTGTATGTCTATATATATATATATACACACACACACACATATATATATATATATATATATATATATATATATATATATATATAGCCTTGCTTTCTTCGCTGCTCTGCTTGCATCCAGCACGGAGCGTTGACAGAGCGTTTCCCAGGCATGCACCCATACACGCACGAAAAACTTGCATTATATTGCATGTAACATCACGTTCGGGAGACCATAACGCCCGATCACTCCATCCGAATGGACCAAAGGGATGCTGAGGGCGTCTTGCGGCAGGAGAATAGAGTCATTCGCTTATCGGCGGGCGTCGCGTCGCTTATCGCACATGCGCCCACGCGCATCTGATGCCACAGTCGGCCCCAATGACGTCATGAGGAGCAGTGAGACGTCATAAGGACTGCGATACGGCGCTGATCTCCCGCGCGTTGGCGGCGGCAGCAACAGGTGACGCGTCGGCGTCAGCGCCGGACATCCGGTGCCACGTGCGGCGGCCGGGCGGCGTCACCGCCGACGTCGGTATCGACGCGCCGGGACAGGTGGGAGGCAGCCGAGCCGGTGCCCGGCCTCGGTCAATACGTCACCGGTGGCCCGGCGGGTGCCGTCGGCGGCCGGGGCACGTCCGCCGCTGATGACCCCGGCACGGCCGCCGCCCTTCCCCAGACCGACCCAGCGTCTCCGTCCAAAGGCCAGCGCACGTGTGGGGCATACTCCCGCAACGGGTCAGAGCCGGGTCTTTGCACCAGCGTGAAACATTCAGCTGCTTAATAACGGTGGCTCAACCGACCGTTTGAAAGACAATAGGAATATAGCATATTCGGATTCACTCAGGAGTGCACAGAATATACCAGACTTATATCGATGGAACTGCGGCTCACTAAGCGCAATGGTCGTGGTCAGCTGTTATCGACAAATTTCAAGCGCGCTGCTGGGATGCTCCTCGTCAACGCCGACGAGCATTCCCATTTTCACCACAAAAGCACGACATGACGGCGGTCGGGTTACATACAGGTCGTCATAAAACAGCTCTCAGGCGTGCTTTGTCCGAGCACGTCCGACGAAAGCACGGCATCTGTCCAAGAGGCGACGTCTGACGCAGCGTCGTCTCATCAGCCCCACGGGCCATTCCGACCGTCCGCCTCGAAACTTCCTCCCACGCATCCGAGGCACAGCTCTGTTCCAACGGTGCCGCAGACCTTCCTGTGCTGCTCCGCCCGGTCCGCGCAGCGCACCGGGAACGACGGAGCGGTCATCCATGGACATGCCTCCCCAGATGGTGACTGACTAAACGCCGCGCTGCTTCTTATGGGGCACACTCGGCCAGCCGGGCGCGAGGCATGCTCCGTGCCCTCCAATGGCACGGTGGCAATACGCCGTCTAGCTTCATCTAATCTGCTTGCAGTGCGCCGCTGCTGCTGAGACAGACGGCTCCATTTCGCAGTGCGAAGGCTCACAAACCCTGGAAGCTCCATAAACCGCCGCTCCCCATCGAGCCTGGCATTCCTCACGACGCGCACGTGGCCGAAATGGAGCGGGGCGAGGCCGGCGCCGCGTCAGCGTTCATCTTGCATCAGGCCGGCCGCCTGAGGCCGCCAGACTCCGTCGGTGGCCGCCGCATCGTCCGTCTCTCGGGACGAGAGTGGTTAACGGACGGACAGTGAGCCTCAACCATAAAACCGAGAGTCTCGGCGGCACCCGGCAATGTCGCTGAGTTTCAGTCGCCTGGAGCAACGCATGTCAGTTTGACGCCGTTCCATTTCCGACGAAAACCCGCCCCGGCAAATGCCAGACCGCAGTAACGGGAGCTGTTATAAAAATATATCGGCACTTAATAATTTGGCCACCGGCACTTTATGGGAGGCAACGCTCATGAGAGGGCGCGATTCACCCGATCGAAAAGCCAATGGGCTCCAAAGGCCTCCTGTTCCAGCAACACGCTTACGCCTGCCGCTCTAAGCGGACATTGGGGCTGGCATTCTTTTGCAGTTTATCGCATACAGCTGCCTTGCAAAGCTCCGATACCACAAGCGTCGGCGAAGCGCGACAGCCAGCGTCAGCGGGTAATCGACAGTGGGTGACAAGGCGGCGCCGCGCCACGCCGGGGATCACCGCCGGAAGGTGTGGGCGGCCACGGCCGAGCCGCGCCCGTCCGACCGGACCCGCCACCCGGCGACGGCCGGCCGACCTCACGCTGGCCGCCGCCGCCGTCCGCCGCTGCCGCCACCGCCGCCTGGCGAGGGCGTCAAGCCCTGGTCCGCTACACGGGTGCACGGAGCCAACCGTGCGGCCTCTATTATGAGTTTCAATGAGTTTACATTGTGTGAGTCGTATACTGATATATATATATATATATATATGTGTGTGTGTGTGTGTGTATGTATATATATATATATATATATATATATGTGTGTGTATGTATATATATATATATATATATATATATATATATATATATATATACATATATACATACATATATAACGCTCGATGTCGCCGGTAGCATCAGGCGTTGGGCGGCAGATCGTAACGTGACATCGATTAACAAACTGGCGTATGCCGCTGCAATTTCGCCTGGATATGTGTCCGCCCTCTCCACACGTGGTGGTGAAGCTTGCGATGCGGTATCACGCGATGTCGGGTAATTTTAGCCACCTGTTGGCTCCCACAAGTTTCCATCAGCACACGCATCAGGGCGTGCTGTGCCACGCGAGTGATTGCTGAGACCGGTACATCATTAAAGTATCCAGAGCATGGTTTGAACGTGAGCAACAGCTACAAAACCCTCCCGCAGCGCACTGCTGGGAATCTTCGCAACCGCTGAAAGCGATGGCCACCAACCGTGCAAACGCCCGAGGTGCGATTCAATCAGTGCGAATGTGCAAACAGTACGATACAGTCCGTTACGGCCAGGCTTCAGACCGTAAACCCGGTGGTGGAGCTGTATGGCCGTACCTAAACGTGTTAACAACCATGCCGTTTACATCGAATGTTCTGGAGAGCCGTAGGGAAACAGTACGATTCTATGTTCTTCAAAAGCAGCTGCCGTTGAGATTCGATCTGATCTGGATTTTTACTTAGTCACTTTTGTTTCACTTTGCAGGGCCTAGATCGTGTTAGGCCACACTCACTGTACAGTGGCTCAGTAAGGGCGGGGGGGGGGGGGGGGGCTCAGCACGACGCCAATGAACACGGCGAACGGACACCCAATCGACCCTCTCAAGCGCGTCCACCCACGCCACCGACGTCCAAGTATCGGCGAGCAGTCCAGCTTTGGCATTTGCGATCGGGAAACGCCCCCAATCGATGTAATCACAGGCGTGCGTCAGTTTGTAATGCGGCCACAGCTCGATGGCCATCGCTATTCAAAGCTCAGGCAGTTGGCCGATTCACAGAAGTGCGAGTGTGGGAGCATTCCGAGATCAATGGCATTTAAACAGCAATCAGGTATTAGTTCAACAACTGCAGCTGCTGGTGATGTGCGTCGCAGACATAGATCTTCAGGAGCTGGACGATGTCCACCATGTTCTCACCTGCTGAATCATGCACCGAGTCCTCATTTGATACAATACCTCCAGATCATATCCTCTTTTGCTGCGCCGTATCCTCAGCTGGTGTGCCGCGTCCTCAGCTGACGTGGCATGTCCTCACCTGCTGCGCCGTGTCCTCACCTGCCGTGCCATGTGCTCACCTGCTGAACCATGTCCAGGCAGTGTCCGGCCGTGAAGCCGTCCGTCAGCTTGGTGAGCGTGCTCAGGTCGAGGCTGGGGTGGCGCGGCACACCCGGCACCGCTACCGTCCGGGTCAGCAGCTGAAGCCGGCTGGCGTAGTCTAGCGCAGGCAGCAGCACCACGCGATGATACGCCTGGCCCAGTGCCTGTTCCGTCACGCCTCACAGTCAGCAGCAGGCCCACACACGCCGGCTGCTCTGGTCGCAGGGGTGTACAATTCACAGGGACATACATCTATATTACATGAGGTATACAGGCAGAAACACAAAATCTTGTTTGCAATGCCTTACAGCCAGAGAAGCATAGCATTTGTTACAAGGTGGGATGAGCAAGACAAGTTAAATAATGCAAACTCATTAAGTAGGCAGGTAAGACAAGCTGGACTGCTGCGGTATGGGGGCGCTGATCACCTTCTGGTCGGCGTCCCAAGGAGACTCGCTGGTGCCGACCAGCACCAGACGGTCCAGCGGCGTCAGCGCCTTCAGGAACTTGGGCAGCTCCTTCTTGAGCCGCTTGGGCTCCGTCTTGTCCGTCTTGGGCACTTTCTTGACGAAGGTGCGCTCGGCTCGGTCGATCCAGATGACCGCCGGCTGCAGGAGGCGGCCCACCTGGCGACGGTGGCGCCACCGCTCACGGCGCGGCCTCCACCGGAAGCTCCGCTGCCGGCCTCCTCCGCCGAACACCGAACAGTGGCCGCCTCACACGCTCTTGACTTGCAGCACGCATCGCAAAAAGATAGCCGACACATACAAGCACACTTAATATAAAGTAACCTTCCGTTACAAACGGTCCAGAACGAATAGTTCGCGAAGCACGTAAACCACAACCCAGGCCAGTTACAACTAACGGCAACTGAAGAATGTCTCACGCCGCGCTCCAGGGGTGCAGTCTCTGCACGGACCTTGTTGACGAGGTGCATGAGCATAGTGAGTCCGGCCTTGCCCGGGTACCGCCCGGCGATGCTGGCTGCCGTCAAGTCGAACAGCACGGCGCCCGACTCGGCGCAGATGGCGTGCACCAGGTGCTTCTTGCCGGAGCCCGGCGGCCCGGCGATCAGCACGGACTTGACCAGCGGCGCCGTCTCGTGCACCGCCGGACAGCCTGACGACGGGTGAGGGGCGGGGTGGGAACACGGGTCAGGGAAACGGGCCGAGTCAGGGGCGGGGCGGCGGGACACGGGTCAGGGAAGCGGCCAGGAACGGGCCGCCTGACAACGCACCGGGGGACGGCCGGGGGCCGGGCGGTCAAGGGCGGGGAGTCCATGGTCACATGGTAAAGTCAGGAAACAAGCAATCCGACGTCGGCGAGGGGGAGGGGCAGCAAGGCGCCACACAGCAATGAATGGTAAAAACCCGTTACCCGGATGTAATAATTGCTCACACTGTCGTCAACGCCTCGTTTGCTAGCATTGACGCTGGTACGTTCATGCCCACGCACCAGACGAGGACAACAGCCCGGCGAATGATTCCATCCTTGATACCCACACCTCGTCTCGCGCGTTCGGTAAATCTGCAAACCGCTTCCCCGCGGTCACAGCACACCCGGTCAGCGTGAGGCGTACGGTCAGCGTGACACTGCAGCGCCAGCAGAGCGTCTCACCCATGGGCATCACGCAGTACTCTGTGAGTACCCGCCGGACGTCGCCCAGCTGCGGACGTGCCTCCTCGTGTTTGAGTCGCTGCAGCGAGCCGGTCAGTGCAGGGTACCCTGCAGCGGCGCCGCGCAGTCGCCGTCAGCGCCCAATCAGCGGCCGCGCGCACACAATGCACACAGTCCAGCAGCTGCACACTGACAACGGACACGGAGTCCGGCAGCCGCACACTGACAACGAGCACGGAGTACGGCAGCCGCACACTGACAACGGAGATGGAGTCCGGCAGCCGCACGCTGGCAACGGATTCATAGTCCGGCAGCCGCACACTGACAACGGACGCAGAGTCCGGCACATGCACGTTATCAACGGACGCAGAGACCAACAGTCACACACAAGCACCGCACACAGAGCTCAACAGTCGAACAGTACCATCGAACACCGGGTCCAACAGCCACCAGCAGCCGACGGCACGGACACAGTTCACCACCAGCCGCACACGGACAACGGAGGCATGGCGCATAGCCCAGTACTGACACGTCCACAGCCGTAGACTGTGACACTGACACATCCACAACGCAGACACATCACTGATAGACGTAACCCAACAGCGCACAACTGAGGCCAATGAGTCCACGGCTGCCCTCCATTCGCAAACACCCGCGCCCGTCATCAGGGCACCAACTCCGCGTGCAAACTTGGTGATGAAGACCCTTAGTGTCATCTTTACAACGACAGACTGCCATTGAAGGCCATGAATCATTTTTGCGAGAATGCACGAGTCGTTGCCATAAAAAACAGTGAGGCATCGATAGGCGCACCCCAGGCATTTTAAGCGCACTCGAGTTGCCAAAGCGCACTTGGGCTGCCAAGACTCTATGGGCAGCATCACAGGATTTGTATTTAGCTCGTTAACAACACAACAATTGCACAGACGCCTCTGTTATCTCAGACACATTAAGATGTATCAAGGCCGCCTGACTGACGCCCCAAGTGAAACTACTACACATTTGAGATGGTGGAGAGGTGGACCGCAAACCAGAACGCTTAACTTAGGCGACACCGTCTGCTTATCAAGCCGCGCTGAACTCATGACGCCCACGGCTGATCTCTTTACGCTTACCCATGAAGTCAGCCATCCTCTTTTCCGGAATCAGCTTCATCACATTGTTCTCCACCAATTCCTCGACTAATGACTCAAGGCTTCTGTCCGGTGTCAGATCCTTTCCTTTCTTTTTCTTTCCCTTCTTGCCTCCTTTCTTTCTCTTCTTTTTCCCTTTCTTCTTCTTCTTCTTGCGGCCCTTTTTTCCCCTGTCTCTTTCCAACGCCTGGCGATGGAGAAAACAACAAATAGCGTAAGATAAAGCAACGTAAATATACATGATAGCTTACGGAGCATGGATTGAGGAGCTATTGCGAGTAGTACTGATAGGAATACCTAGAGGAGTACTGGGAGGAGTGCTGATAAGAGTGCTGAGTGCTGAGAGGAGCACTAGGAGGAGTACAGAGAGAAGTAATGCGCGGATTACAGAGAGGAGTACTTAGGGAAGCACTGGGAAGAATACTGAGGAGAACTGAGAGAAGTGCTGAGAGGAGTACTGAGAGGAGCACTGAGAGGAGAACCGAGAGGAGTGCTGAGAGGAGTACTGAGAGGAGCACTGAGAGAAGAACTGAGAGGAGAACTGAGAGGAGTACAGAAGGGAGTAGTGAGAGGAGTACTGAGAGGAGAACTGAGAGGAGTACTGAGAGCAGTACTGAGAGGAGTACTGAGAGGAGCAATGAGAGGAGAACTGAGAGGAGTACTGAGAGGAGTACAGAAGGGAGTAGTGAGAGGAGTACCGAGAGGAATACAGAGAGGAGAACTGAGAGGAGAACTGAGAGGAAAACTGAGAGGAGCACTGAGAGGAGAACTGAGAGGAGTACTGAGAGGAGTACAGAAGGGAATACTGAGAGGAATACAGAGAGGAGAACTGAGAGAAGTACTAAGAGGAGTACTGAGAGAAGCACAGAAGGGAGTACTGAGAGGGGCACTGCGAGTGGTACTGAGAGGAGTACAGAGCGTACGCTCGGCAGTTCAGTGGTGCTCCTTCGACATGCGTTTTGTCCAAAGTTAATTTGTCACGGAATCAAACAAACTAATTCGTTTTAATTGTCATACGTTTCGTTTCGTTCGTTCGTTTTGACAGACATGTTGGTAAGGAAAGGAGGTTACTATGGCAACTATGTTCTCAACATAGCAAGAGATTGGTGGCTTTATTCGCAATGATAATGGCCAACAAACCACATCCAATGTAGTACTATCTGTTCATATGCATACATGGCAGCCTTAACAGGCTAAGTGCTCAAGCTGGCGCCGTCTGCCACGATGCACACGATATGACTGCCACGTAGGCGCGATGTTATACAACTCACTTCCTTCAGGCGTTCCAGCTCATCCCTCATCACCTCATCCACGTCCTTTCTCACTTCGGTCTCCAGCTCATGAAGTTTGTCCTTGCGCACAATCTCACTGTCGAAATTCTGTTCAAAGTTGTTTTTCTCATCTTTGTGCTTCCAGTGTTCTGAAGGCAAAGTGTCAGTACGTGCCCACGCGACTCGGCCACCTGCGCAAGCCGTTTCGAGTGCAACGTGACTAACACCTGCAGCAGTGCTCCGACCACTAATGTCTGCTTTATGGGACGATCAGTGAATAGGCAATCCGAAATCTAAAAATCAAGGGCAATGCATGCCGTGTTTTCGTTTTACCTGTCAGCCCCATACAATTTGGCCGATTACTTATGATATAAGTTATATGAGGATTATAATATACGTCAGTTACATGATCCACACGTCAATACCTCAGAAGCGGCACGCAGCCACGTCTGCGGCATCGCAGCGCACCAACGAGCCTCTCAGTAAAACACACGGCGGCTGTCATCCACCGCACCGAAGTGTGGTCCATCAGAGCTGATATCCACGAAACACAGTCCGCTTTCTTACCGTTGTACTCATTGCAGGCCTCTATGATGGCGGGTACGAACTTAGACGGCTGCATGATGAAACCCTCATCTTCGTCACCCTTCTTCTTCTTCTTCTTCCCCTCCTTCTTTTTGTTTTTATCTTTCTTGTCCTTCTTGCCCTTGCCCTTTTTCTCCTCCTTTGCTGGTTTCGGAGGCGGCACAAAATCGGGATCAAATATGGCGGCGGAGCCACCCTCCTCTTCCTTGGGCAGATCAGGAAATTCACCATGATCCTCCCTGAAATAAATGCCAACAAAAACTAACGGGGTGTAATGAAAGGAGCTTCCCGAATATCCGGCAAATATGCCTGGTAAAGAAACGCAACGCCATACACTTCGCCAATGAACACTAAAACACTCGTGCTGGATCGTGAGGAACCCACCAGCCAGCCTGTAATCGTGCTCTAAGTAATCGCTAAATGCATCTCAGCTCACAGCTCCTCGACCGCCGTAGCTTTCGTCCCTCACCACATACTGACCACCAAGTCTTTCGTCCCTCACCACCCACTGACTACCCGGTCTCTCGTCCCTGACCACCTACTGACCACCCGGACTCTCGTCCCTCACCACGTCATCACCTGGTCTCTCGTTCCTCATCACCTAACCCCCGGCCTCTCGTTCCTCATCACCTGGCAACCCGGCCTCTCGTCTCTCACCACTCCTTGACCATCCAGGCCCGGATCTGGTCCTGCATGTCCTCTCGCATCTGGACGGCCTGCAGGCGGCGCAGCTCCTCCTTGACGGTGACCAGCGCCTCCTGGTACTGCTGCTCGTGACGTGCCTGCACCTCGCGCCGGGCAGACTCCACCTCGGCCAGCCGCTGCTGTGGCGGCGGCGACGGTCGTGGAGGCGGCGCCTGTCGACAAGACAGTCCCGAGCGGCGCTTGGTTCTGGGTACGACTTGGGAGTCTGGGAGCCCACCGAATCTGGAACTCAATTGGTGGATTTGCTCTGAGGTAACGGCACATATAAAAATTTAAGTGATTTGAGACCGTGTAATAATAAAGAGATCTTCTGAACAGACGCCAAAAGAGGTCATACGCGATCACAGTCCCATCACTGCCGTGGGGTGCTGTCACAGGCGCTGGAGAGTGGTGACCAACATGTCGAAGCAGTGTGGATGGGCTGCGAGTTGTGCCGATGTATGACAGAGTTTAGCCGCCTGCATGCCCGCATCACCAGGACCTCTGGGCAAGTGATGCGAAAGAGACTCACACTGGTAGACGCAAGGAGCACGGCTCAACATATGCATTTGCCGTACAAACAGTTGGTCCGGCTGCATACGGGATTTACTAACAATCACACAAGAGGGGCTGAATTGACATTGACTTAACCCAGTCAACTGGCTGGCATCGCAGGTACATACATGTAGCATTACCACCAATAAAGAACACATACATATGCACGCACGTCTGGACACAGACATAAGCCATTTGTTTCAGCGAGACATCACAACCAATGAGAATCTCAGACTGTCATGAAACACACTGTCGGCATGCGTGCCACTTACCATACCAATGAATACCATCTCCTCCTCTCTCATCTCCTTCACATGGCGTTTGGCAGCAAACCCTCTCCACACGGTTTGAATCCGTAGTGCCGCCTGCTCGTCCGACATGGTCGCCACGTACTGCAAGAAGTACGAAACACACAGGGTGGTCACAAACAGCCTCGGAGTGCGTGAGAATCCTTACAGACGCCCCGCTACAGCACACCCCAGTCACCCCCGCCCTCCCCCGCGTCCTTGAACAGACCGCCGGGCCCGATACACTCTCAGATCGGTGTCGCACCTTGCCCTTGGTTTTCTCACGCATCTCCTGACGGTGGATCTCCTGCATGAAGCGGGCGCGGTGTCGGCCCTGGCGGGCACGCTCCTGACGCTGCACCAGCCGCACGGCCTCCTCCCGACTCAGCTGGGTCACCACCTTCTCCTGCAGGTCACGCCAGCACAACACACTGGTCAGCTGGGTCACCACCTTCTCCTACTGGCCGCACACCGCACAGTCATTACCGTGTGGGTGAGCACACCACAGTCCTTACATCCCGCGCCGGCCATTAGCCATAGAGCTGGCACGTCGTGCGTGCGTGCGTGCGTGCGTGCGTGCGTGCGTGCGTCGTAGAGCACGGTCGGGTATCTGTACTGGCCAACGAAATAAGTTGTGTCGTCTAGCTGTAAGGTATGTAATTGGCAATGCCTAGTCTGTTAATAGTGCTGGGGCAGAATGCACAACTTGACACAGGTTGCTTACTCCTCGTAGAATAAACAAGAGAATGGAGAAATAGACGTGATGTTTTGGCTACATGCTTTTATCGAAACGGAAGATATTCGTTTCGATAAAGGCGCGTAGCCTAAATATCACGTCTATCGCTCCATTACCGCGTTTATTATACGAGGAATAATGTTATTTATACCGTCTTATCCATAAGTTGATACCTAAGCCGACGTGGGATGTATGTCTTACCCATAAAATGCTATGCCACCGGCGAAAACCCTGCAACATCGCGTTGAAAGGACGCCAAGGAAACGAATGTATGTCATGGAAAGCAGAACCATGATTATGTAAAACTGGAACAATGCAAAAATAAAAACTAAAAAGCACACTTTGTTTTTACAAGGCATCCCGAATAGGAGTGAAAGAGATCATTTTTATCTAGTATGGAATGACTCACATGTCAGCAGTGAGCCTAAATCAACACAACCAAGTAATGTGCCAAAGAGCGGGTATTGTCTTACCTCCGACTTGATGGCTCCCAGCTTCTTGAGGGCATCGCTGATGATTTCATTGATGCCGGCTAGCGTGTCCTTCCGTTCCAGTCGAAAGAACGGTGGGATAGGCAGATCCGTGTCGTGAGGAAGCAGTTTGTAGTCCACTTGGAGGTCGTCAAAAAAGTGAAACTCGGAAAGCTCGATATTTGTCAGTTCTTGCTGAAAAAAACAAAATATAATTATCTTTAACCGGTTTGGTAATGACAGATAGCAGTATGATACAAAGAACTGCAGATTGCAGCATCTTATAATGTAAGATGCGGGGTACATGTATGACCATAATCTACATGAGGAGAAATAGCATGTGCGATAACCAGATTACAAGGCCTACCAACCAAGGCCTATCTACCTACGAGATTTTTAGTTGATTCAACTTCACACAAATCAAATCGATTCTGACTCAAAATCAGTGGACGCTGAATCACGCTCTGTATCAAACTTACGACTCACCGCATCATTCACCAAACACCATTGGAATGAACATGGAACAGCCTCATACCAAAATATGCAACAACCTTTAAAATTTTTAGCGTCTGGTCGCACTCAATGGACGTCTGTAACTTATATGTACCATGGTGAATTTAGCATAGCATTTTCGTGCTGTTTGCATGTGTGTTATTGAAATATCTACGTTCTCTGAAGTACCAACCAGTCGGCCATGATGTGTAAATTTGTAGGAAAAATACATATTTCTGAAAGCTATGACTATCGGGCTTTATCGGGCTTATACCCTTAATACTGTGGTCACACACCTTTACGTTATGCCATACGTCAAACGGCCAGTTACCATTACCTTATGACGTATGTTATTCGTTCTGTTCTTTACTGCCATCAGTCACTGAACATTTGTTTTCCGAACGTTGTGACAATCATGACCGGACACTGATGCAGGGTGAGCTGATGTTGACTCCGCATTGCAACCAAAATCAAACCAAACGTCACCCTAAATCACGCCAAAGGCCGGAATTCAAATCAAGCTCACTCAACACAAATTTGCGTGATTCTTCATTTGCTTCTGAACCTGGATTAGACCTCGCTCAGGTGTGCTGTCCACCACCCTGCGACACTTCTTCATGTCCATGACCACGAGCGCGAGGAAACCCACGGTTAACTGGGCCCGTCGGTAAATAAAATAAACAAGACGCAATATGCCTGTCCTTCGCACGGCCGCTATGATGTCCGAGGACAGGCGACAGACGGGCGGACAGACGGACTCACGGACTTAAGGACAGACGGACTAACATCCCAGCAATGAAAGAGACCTCCCACTTCTCGATCATACACAAAACGCATTGACTGCACGCTCCTATCAACGTAAAAATACAAAATACACCAAAATGATATCACTATATTTCGGATGACAAAATTTCGTGGGTAACTAGGAACTCCCAACGTCAACTTCAACGTCATCCAGCCTCCTGCTTCTCAAGTACAGGAGCAGCAGCCCCTTACTCCGTCGAAATAAAAAGGCTCATATACGTCCTGTGCATCAGCACCAGCATCTGCATGAGCATTAGATCAGCATCGCCCCCTCCCCTCACCGCGGTCAGAGGCCTCACACGGCCGCCGCGGCCCTGACCTTCAGCTCAGCCATCCGGCCCATCACGGCGTCCAGGCTCTTGCGCATGACGAGCCGCTTCTGGGGGTGCACCGTCTGGTCGTAGCAGAGCATCAGCCGGCGGAAGACGAGCAGATGGCGCAGGTACAGACCCAGCACCACCTCTAGCGCCAGAGACTTGTTCTGCCGGAGCACGGGACAGCAGGCGCTGACGGCGACGGCGGCGGAACTCGGGCATAGAATGGGCTCGACAAGCACGCACGGACGCCGATGACGCAGGCTCGCAGAGCGGGTTACAGAAATAAACCTCAGAATAACCGTTATTAGACGAAAATATGTGACGCTGCGGCATCCATGACGAAACAAATGTGACGCAGACGTACAGGGTAAATATGACCAGTCATTGCTGTGTCAGTGAAGCTCAGAATGGAGACGAGAGCAGAAATGCTCAACCTTTGACACACCCGGAGGTGATGGTAACGCAGCATCATAAAGCTAGTCTTGCTATACTATGAGGGAAAAACCGACGCTTTCAAACAGTCTCGGAACTACCTGCAATGCTGTCTCAAAATGTGAGCGAGGAGATATGGCTCATATCAAGCCAGTAGTACATATTGCTCATATCCAGTCAGTGTTACTTGCCACTATCAGGCCTAGGACTGCCAGTGCAACAGTGCGGACGGCGTGCAATGTGAGGAGCACCAGGGCCATTTGCCGACTTGTGGGGATGGCAAGCAGTGCTGGTGCTGCTTGGCTGGTGGCCCAGCCGCGTCGGTCGCTTGCTCACGTGCTCGGGCTTGGCGCCGGCTGCCGCCAGCTCCTTGCTGATCACATCATCCAGGTGCAGCTGCACCTCCTTCCACAGTTGCAGGCATAGTCTGACAACAGAAAGCACCATCACTGGGCCTGTATGTGCTTCAAGATGTGTCAAAAAGCAGACAACATTGGTGGTTAGGTATCATCTTAGCAAGAGACACCACAGGGTTCATGAGGAAAAACATGACATGAGGAAGGTTTGGTAAAAATTTTCCAGATTTCTGAAAACACTACACTTAACATCACAATGAATTATGAAAAGGAGAGAACATTTGTGTGTTTAACATTTTACAGATAGGTTGCAAAAAATTGTATTAGGGTGTGACTTATAACAACTGAATTTTAAATATGATGAATATGAACCAAACATGCAGGGAAAGAAAGATCAGGTGTTTGTTGCAGACCAGATGTCTATTTCAGCTGATGCTGCCATCCAAAGGCAAAAAGGTATAAGAGCCCTTAGTTAACATAGCACTTAAACCTTTTTGCCTTTGAATGACAGAACAGTGACCAAACATAATGGAGCAGAGCTATGATGCACTGCATATAAAAGGTGTTTGCTTGAGTTGCTTCCACTTTTTCTTCTAAACTTACAAATTTGACATGGTGGCCAATTCCTTTTTAAGGCTGATATGAACCAAACTCCCTTTTAATAGTGTCTGGCATCTGCAAATGGGAGAACATCAGTTAATGCTTGTATGAAATGCAATCTATGATCAATGAACCAACTGTATCAGAGAAATCAAAATACACAATTTACCATCATAGCAGAAGTCACATGCAGTGGGTACAATGCACACTAGCAGGAGTTAATTATGATTAAAACACCACATTTTGCACACAAAAGTTCACATCAAGGTGACAGAAAGGCAAATGGCAACATTCATAATCTACACTAGCTTGCTCATGGACTGGCATTGACTGTTACAGGGTCTAAGATTGTTCAGTAGTTAGAGCTGGTTAGTTCTGACAACGTATTCACAGCCGGTGTTTCAGTAGAGAAAAGAAGTGTGTTCAGCATGTCCATCATCCATGTGCAGCAAGTTTAGATGCACACTTATTGCTACTATTTTCACTTTCAATTTTCCTGATGCTACACCAAACAAAATGAACTGAACTACATAAAATACTTGCCAAATGATAGATGTACTACTAGCCTGCCAGTACACGGTACCTATACATACCCGAAAGGTTTGGATATCATGCAAATCAAAGTCTGCCTGCCAACTTGATTTATGAGCCTAACTTCACTCAATCATAGATGCTATGCCTACACTTGCTGCTTAAATAATCCCAGAAAAAACACTTTAATTCTGTAAAAGCAATATAGTTTTACGAGTTCCAGACAAGATGCCTGATCAAATGAGGTACCAGAACACTAGATGAGGATGATAGCCCTACAATAATTCTATCCAAAAAAACAAACCTCACCATCTACCGAGATCAGTCTAGGCCCAGGGGCGCGCCCGCCCGGACGCTGGAAGCCCTCAATGGCCCCGGAAGATAGGAATGCTTCCACAGCTTGAGTGGTCATGCCCTAAACTTATGAATGTGCCCCCTATAAACTCTGCGCGCGTGTACCTTTCCCTTGTCGCCTGCACTCAACCTCACCAACACGATTACCCCTGGCCGGTTATTCGACTCTACGGCTGATTTGCCGAATACTGATCTACCACGGTTCCGTTTTAAAGCCGCGGTAGGTAAAAACTTTCGGACTGGGCACCAAATCGTCACCTTTGCGTCAATTCACCTATACCGCCCTACCAGTTGCTATGGTTACCAGCACCTTTTACTATTCTACTGTTGTTTCTAGAGCAGTCAGCTATATATCAAAAACGCTCATCTTATGATATTTAGATCTAGACTAGAAGGCAAACAGCTTAAGCAGCAAATTAACATTTCATGACTTCATGTTCCTCTGATAAGCCACGGGCCGATCAAGAACTGTGGAGGAAACTGCTTCAGAATAATCAGCTTCTGCCAACCTTTAGCATTCCACCTGAACGGACAACCTTTTTTTAAATAAGGAAAACGGAAGGCGAGAGAACAATAAATTAAAGCTTGAATTACTTGAAAATTCATCTTTTCGGGCCCCACGCCATTTCCGGTTCCACCCGGAAAGTAGCATGCCTGTCAATTAAGGCGCGGGCAAGCGTTCACCGAAACAACAGGCATGACATGCGTTCCCATGGGACCCCGGAGCCCGAACCCCCAAGGCACTTTAAAACTTGACCAACCTCTCGTCTAGTCAAAAATTTAAGAAGTGCTACAGAAGCCTAAATGAGAGGCGCCGCAAAACCTATAAGCACAAATCCGTAATAACGTAGTGTAGCGTAACAAAACATCCGTAAGTGCAATCAAGTGGGCGACTCTAGGCCCACGTGAGATATGTCCAAATCCAGATAGAAGGCGTCCAGAATCCAGGATTAGAATAACCAAACCTGAAAACTGTCATGAGAGCGACTCCTTATTAGGCAAAGGTATGCCGCTAGCCCAGACAACGAACGGTTGAAGCCTAGATAAAGACACCCGGAGGTTAAGAAATCAAGCTCCTTCTTTCCCCAAGTACAGGCGCCTCTGGATCAACACAGACGGACGCCCATAAATATGGGTGGGCATGACGATAAAATATGGATTTCCAACATAGCGTACATCCCAGAACGCATGTTTCTATCAACGTTAGGATTTCCAAGAAGGACCTTTTCTACATCAATAGGCCCCTTTCCCGGGTCATAATGCCACCTTTATGTCTAAGGCAGTTCATGCGTTAGGTAATGCCTTTCTGGGGTAGGAGGTTCCGCTTTGCATGACGAGACCTTTTCCCGGAACAGGAGGCCCCCCCTCCCCGCATTCCGTATTTTTCCCGGAGCAGGAGGCCCCCATTCTGTATTTTGTGATTTTAGAATTATATTTGTTTGGATATGGTACATGCAATATATTTTTGAGAGCACATTCTCCCCGTGCCCCCCTCGAATACAACACTTCCCACGACCCCCCCCCCCCCCCCTCAAAGGAGGTCCCATTTGGTCCACGACGATCCTTGGAAATCCCCCCTCCCCAACTCAAAATCTGTGGCGCCGACCAGTTTCCAAGCAGAGCTTAATAATGAAAACGCGAGATATATTGGACTAAAAACACAATTGCCACCAGCAGAGGCAAGCCCGATCGCATGTAGTCAGATAATCCACCAAACCCCATGTCCACTCCGCCACCGAACATCTTGCTGTCTTAAACCTGACCACCGCATCACAAGCCACACGATACGAATTCGACGAAAATGTACATATGCCCAGGCCTTAGAATGATGTAAGGGACTTTGTTTAAACATGTGGCCCTTTAACGCCATTTGCCCTATTGATTTTTTCACGCACCTTTTTCCATAGCTGCCTCGAACGCTTGCACATTTGCACTTATGGTGTTGCTATTCGGAACTTGATAGTCTGCATGCTGTGTTTAAATCCTGATTGGAAAGACAAATGTGCAGCTTGAATAAAACTTCACGTTTGCAGGTCGGGAACCAAGGTTAGCAACTAACCTAGCCTGCATTTATGACGTGCTGGTGGGCGTATCAGGAATATATTCGAAACACTGGAATGGACATTACGCCGCCACCTGCCTGCTGAAGGTTAAAACTCTTACTACCTTTGTCTCTGGAACAAAGCCAGAATTCCCCTGGATGTTCTCGAGCAAACTAAACAAATTACGATGAATGCAAATAACTCCTTCATTGTCAACGCCCCAGGCTCTGCTTGAATCGCCCGGTGGAGGCACTTACGTCCTTGGCAAGCCTCCACGGCGCGTCTTAACCCTCATACTCAGGAGTTTCCTACGACAGAACTTCACCTGGGTGCCACCATCATCAGAAGCAGCTTGATCAGCACGCTCAGGGGCAACTTCACCAGCACCTTCTCACCGCAGGGCAATTGGTGACGTAGGTCAGGGCTGTAGGCCATGTTACCGCCGCCAGCTTTCGGGCGGTTCCGACCGCCGACAGCCGAGCCAGGGTAGAGGTCAGCGTTGCTCGTGTTGCCCTGCCCTCCGCCCCCCTGCCCTCACTGGGGTGGTGCTATCAGGTTATCTTGTAGATCAAGGCCGATGTAGTGCAGGTGGACGCATAATATGCGCGCTAGAGTGCGGGTACACCACATGTGTTCTGGTGGATAATGCAATAGAAATACAGGTACGACATCGGTGACATTAATATTACGTGAAATTTACAGGCGTTAAAAGTTACTTTCATTGTTATGTTCTTGCATGCAATGCACTGCAAATCTGCTGATTGCAGGATTGAGCAGCGTCCAAGACAAATCCATATCTCGCCCAACATTAGAGCTGTACCTGCTCGTGCTGAATCAAGAGCCTGCCGAAAAAACTGGGAGATTTTAATGAGTCAACAGATTAGTTGAATCTTTCGTATATGCAAGATCGTTTCATGAGCTGAGCCGCTTCAGTTCCAATAAAGTTTTAGTCGAATCATGAGTTAATAAGTCAAATCTAGCCTTGAACAGCCAGCGAACTACTCGAATCAAAGTTAGGTACGAATGTCAAGTAAAAATAACGAATACATATAAATATGAATTGCGTTTGGTAACAGCAGATCGAAATATACTTAAGCACTCGCCCGGGTGGCCGGCTAGATACCCTTCGCTCGGGCGGGGCTTAATTTGACCCCCCTGAGATCTCGAGAGCTAAGATGGCTAGAAACACTAAACTTGCAGAAGCACTAAAAGAAAACACTAGAAACACACTAGAAACACTAAACATGGCTTCGTCAAACGCCGCGTTATTGTATCAGATTGGACGATTCCCTAGAAATTGCCTTCGCTGAAACCATGGCCTGACTTTGACCCGCCATGGGTCAACGACATTACAAGGTAAATCTAAATTTTGGATGTCTAACGATCCGTTATTCAACTATCCGTTATACACCTAAACAAAATTTGGCGCGGCTACGCCGCGCTGTTCAGAAACCATTCTGGAAAAATCTGAGGTGGGTCAATGCGACTCCCCCAACCGAGCGCGTATTAAAGTAGTCTATGGAGATCGTAAGCACCTTGGTAATTATCATACTTCGAAATAACCATAAGGAATGCAAATGACGCAATGACAACATGACGGATGGCCGTTTGACATCCGGCTTCTGCCTGGAGGCAACGCTACTTTGCTTCTTCTTCAAAATGGCTTCTTCAAAATGACTAGGTGGGGACCCCACAGACGCTGGATGTTAAGCGATAGTTCTGATGCATTCTTTCAGAAATTTCGCACGTGTTAAATCAAGTGGCGGAGATGTAACCCAGTAAGGATGGCTAGCATGGTTGTCGATGCCTGTGCCGCTCCAAACAATAATCCCGAGCTGCTGCATTGTTATGGACTCCGCTAGTATTTGCACCAGCTGCTGTTCGATTCAAGGCTATGTTAGTTGTTCAGTGCAGCAGCTAGAAACGTAACGCCTGCGTAGGACAGCACTGATGGTCATTTGTAATAGAGTTTTGCTCGGTTCCTGCCACTGTCCTTTGACTCTCTACGTCCGTCAGGGTCAATGAAACGTTGCGCCCTCACATCTCAGGTCATCAACGACATTTCCCCTTAGAAAGTCCTCAGAGTTTGATCATTCGTCCTCAAACAGCATGATCGGCGGTGACTCAGGTCTTATGACTCGCGATGATTCATTGTCTCTGAAAAACCCTGTGTTCGTCTGCTCAACAGTTCGGCCGGAAAATCTGACATTTGTCTTTGGAGTGTTTGCACATTCCACACTGGAAGACATTCCATGCCAAAGACTTCCGATAATTTCATCATAGGTTGGAGAAGAAAGAAGTCGTATAATGCAAGTCGTCACTGCTCAAGATCCTAAGAAATATCACTGGAGGTCAAGATTGCATGGGGAAAAATGCTGACACTGACATCAAAAGAGCCTGCGGGACGCCTGTGTCTCAGACCACTAGATGACTGACATGATTACGTCATATGTCAGGCGTCATGTGCTTCAATTATGCCATGACGGCTTATATGTAAGTGAAAATATGCTGTTAAAATAAACCAATATACACACAGGCGTGCATATATATACATACATGATGTCATCCAAAGCAAAGATCACGAAAGCTTATGAAGTGTGAAGTGAACTAGCCCGGTCTGTTGACCTTAATTTGTTTGCATGTACGCGTGTTTTTGCGTATTCTTATTCTTAGTTAGATACGCACTGGCTCAGATAAAAACATATTCGAATGCTGTGAAATGTTTTGTGAAGAAGCTTGATGACCTCTTTTACAACACTTGAATGGCGATCGATGGGGATAGGCGAATGAACGCCTGGGGAAGTGGAGAAGAACAGACTTGGAACCAGTTCCCTCGAAACGCTGCCATAAGGTTACTGCTCGGGATTCTCGGAGAGGTTGGGTGCCATTGCACGCACATGTCTGCCACCCCTGACATTCCTACATCCACGCACAGGGACGCAGCCATAATTTTTAGGGAGGGGCTTGGAGCTCGGTGAGCACGCATCGCACCGATTTTTTAAACTTTCTGTCGGAAACCCCTATGATGTAAAACAAAAAATACAGGCCTCGGGAGAGGGCTTGGGCCTTCGGACTCCCCCTTAGCAGCCTACGCGACGGTTTTTTACACTTATTGATTCAAGTTGTCTCAGCTCGTCAGCCACTCTTTTTCTCAGACCATGCAGGCTCCCGCAAAGCTGAGACCTGGGTCGTGTCGTTCCTCATGGAGCGTTGGGGGCTCGAATTTAGCGCCGACGGCGGCCGCGCTCGGCCGCGCCGTGCTGCCCTCTGAGTGGGCTGGCGTGCTGGCCGGTTTGAGAGCCCCTGACGCCGGCGGCGGTCGCGTCGCATCGCTGCGCCGTGCCGGGGCAGGCGCGTCACTGGGCTGGTGGAGTAGCGAGGGCGGAGCGGGCCGGGGGAGGCGCGCGCGTGTGTGTGTGTGTACACTGTTGCGAGGGTGCGGCCGGCCAGTGGCGCCGTGTGTTGTGTGTAGCTGGCCACTGAGACCGTCTGCAGAGTGCAGCGGAGGCAGGAGAGAAGCTCAGGTTAGTGCTGAGGCGTACTTTGCTCGCCTGCTGACTCTCGAAAGTGTTGTACTGGGCTGCTGACTCGCGAAAGTGTTGTGCTGGGCTGCTGACTCCCGTGAGTACTGTGCTGGGCTCCTGCCTCCCGCGGGTGCCGTGCTGGGCTGCTGACTCCCGTGAGTACTGTGCTGGGCTGGTGACTCCTGTGCGTGCGGTGCTGAGCTGCTGAGTCCTGTGCGTGCCGTGCTGGGATGCTGACTTCCGTGAGTGCTGTGCGTGGCTGCTGACTTCAGTGGGCGCTGTGCTTGACTGCTGACCTCCGTGAGTGCTGGGGCGTGTGACATGATGACTCGATGTGATATATTGGGATGGGCTTAGCCCGGGCCTGGAGAGTCCTGTGGCTGTGTCGGACAGGGAATTGTGAGACGTACCGTATAGATGCTGCAAATCGACATCGCTCCTGTGCACAACAGAATGGTTGTGGAGCTTCATCAAGGTTGTACTTTTGTACCAGGATATACTACATGCCGCCGCTACCGCGTGCTGGAATTAAAGAAGCCTTAGGGGTATGGCGTTCGCCTACTCAATGCTCAAATGCATGACAGTTGCACCCGTATCTCAAAGCAGGTTTTGTGATGGTTGGGTGCGATGGCTCCACTAATTTGACCAGTTGTTTTGTTGGCGGGCGTAGCATTGGGCCAACTCTCTGACCTCAGGTCAGCGGCTTCTAATGCCGGTGATTCGTAGGCTCAGTCCTCGTCCATTCGACTTGTCGACAGTGGACACCGGTCTTCAGCACACTGTCGGCAGTTGCACGTTAATGAGTTGGGGCGCACCGACCCAACCAGCTCGGTCGGCGGTGCGGGTGCTGACGGAGTTTCGAGGGAACGACGCACTCCACTCACCGCGTCTCCGCCGCCCACGCTTTAACGTTGAAGCTGGGGGCTGGGCGGGGCCGGACGGGCTCTGACTCCCGCTGTTGTGTCTCAGGGGGCGGGGCTGTCACCGGCCATGCCGCTGTCGTCAGCTGATGACACGTGACTAGGTCCGTTACGGTGCATGGGATCGGGGAATGGCCGTGACTAGGTCCGTACCAGAGCGTGCTGCCCGGGAGAGGGAGGGGGGGGGGGGGGGGGGAGTTTCCAAGTGCTGTCGGCAAACTCACCCATTGGGAGATGTTTCGGTTCTCTTTTGAACAGACTTATGATGTTTACCTCAGACGCTTAAATTAATGACTTGGAGGGAATGAGAGAATTTGGAGGATCATTTTGGAGAAGAAAGGTGTTCGTGAAGAGCAGCTATTCGCAAGTACGCCTTATTCTCATCCCCATGCTCACCTCATGAAACACGGTACATCGCAAATGTCGCCCATTCTCGCTCTTTCTTTTCGGCTTTCAGCTTCATGACGTCAAGTGACAGCATTGCCAACGTCGCGCAGGTCTTGAAGAGCTGTTGATACCAATATAGAGCGGTAGCCCTCCGTAGAGGCCAGGTGAATAGACAAACCTTTGCAGAAAGTTGCCATGAAAAGCGGATTACCGGCAAAGTATGTCACTGAGCGAATGTCAGAACGTTCGACACGTACAAATAAAAAAATCTGATAAGCAATATTGGATAAACTTGTGACCAGTATGGCGCCAGGGCGACATCATTGCACAATTGCAATGTCATAACCGAACTAATTAGCTATTGTTGCGAGATATGTGGGATAGGGAGGAAAATGTGCGAAGCTCAGAGCTAATCTAAACTCACTAATCAGCGGCTAGGTTTTCAATATATTTGACAACAAAGTGGTAATGAGACGCTATTATAGTATTATGATTACGCAAAGCGGTAATGATAATGCTACTGAAACACCATTTGTAGTGGGTACCTGTCTAACAAGTTAAGCGCTCTCTTGTGGTGCTGTGGGGCTGCTTGTTTCTAATTTAACTGCGGCGCTTCATGTAACGCTTGGCATTCACGATAAATGCCTGCATGGTCTAAATTTCGACTTGACTGAGGAACGTTTTTAGCCGTCATGCTTGACCCCCATGGCTTATTACATCGCGGATGTATCAGAAGCAAAGGCAGGTGCTATGTGCAGCATTAGCTGCTGTAATGATGCGCCGTTTGCTAGTTGGCGATTTTTTTACTTGCCGCTCAGGTGATCCTTGCCGATCCTGTTGTTAGTATATGGAGGGCTCCGTCTGTCTTGCTGGGCTCGCGAACAGACTTGCACGGGTAAGCCCGCCATTCCGTGTCGTTTGTTTGTCTGCACGGCACATTTTACCTTCGCATGCAGGATGAAAATGCAAAGAATGTGGAAAGTCTGCGGGGAAAGCACTCGTTAAGCGCCCGTTCACATGTCGCATCAACCGCGACTTAGCCGCGAAGCCAATCGATCGATGGGATCGTGAGCGTTGAAGGTGGTGAATATTCCTTTGTAGATGATATCTTCTTAAAATCAGCTCATTCGGCGGCAAGTTACGTTAGCATTCCGATCACTTCACGCTCGAGAACTGATAGAAGAAAATGACTTTTGTCTAGACCGCAATCGATACATTATTCAGCGAGACTTAGAAAAGTAGAGCGCCTGTGTGTGAGAGTTAAGTGGGATCCTCTTCACTGCCGCTGGGTCGGGAGCCACGCCCCGCGACACAGCTGTTTGGTGGCTGAATTAAACGCGAGACAGGCGGCCGTCAGCGTTTTGAGTGCCGTGCGTCACGTACCGCGGCCAGGCCCGTAGAGACGGTTCGCCACGCTCAGGGCGGGCCGCCCAGCACATCAAGAGGCAGGGGGCTCGGCACCGGGCTGTGTACGTGCTGTACGCTGCCTGGAAACGGTTGTGGCACCAAAGTGTACTGGTGGGAGTTGTGAGAAGAAAAAAAAAACGGATTGAATTACACGAAAATAAACCACGGTTTCCAGTCACTTCTCCGAAGTGCAGTTGCGTGCGTTTTTGGCGATGCATCGTAAGACGACACACCCGGCCACCCTGGCGTAGTTTTGACTCTTCGGTGCGGCTGGCGGGCGGCGCTGAAGTGCAGCGTGGAAATGGTGCGTCGTGCCGCGCCACTCTGTCCTCGTGCCAGCGCTGTTTACGGAGCATCTCGCGCTGCGGCCGGCGCACCAGACTGATGATGTCACCCGGTGGGGAGGGGAAGGGGGCATCAGAAGCTCGTCGGAGCTGCGCAGACAGGCAGGGCACCAAGCCAACCCGAGCCCAGACGCCGGCCGATCAGAGCCGGCCGGAAGAGCAGACAGGAGCCCACCTGAGCCGGTCGGATAGTCCAGACGTCCGCCCCGCGCGGCCGAACCCCGCCCTGCCCCGAACCGGCCCGGCCCGGCCCGATCCGGTCCTTGGCGCCGGCAGTGCCGGGCAGGGCGCAAGTCGGTCGATGGCGGCCGGGGAGGGGGACGGGGAGGGGCAGCCACAGCCACACCCGGCGCCGCCGGCAGTCGGCAGCCGAGCGACGGTGACCCGAGCCGACCGCCCGGCTGTGTCAGGCCTGTGTCAGGGCTGTGTCAGGGCTCGCCGCGCCCGCCCACCCCATCCGTCCTCGCCATGCTGGGTACACTCACCTGCGGGCTCGTCCAGTGCAGGTCAGTGCGAGGGTGCTGCGGGCGCCCTGCCGCCCGCTCGGCTGCACGGCAGCGCTGGAGAGCTGGGTCTGGTCTCTGAAGTCACTGGGGTTCTGGCATGAGCCTTGTCAGGCTCAGCCCGCACCTGCCGGTAGCTGTTTCATTGTCCATGTTCTCCGGGAGATATTGATCTTCGTTTGTCCACATGCGACGGACTGGCATTAGTCCAACGCAAAGGGGCGTGTCTCGGTTTGCGAATTCGGGTTCTTTATCCATCCGTTTTCTTGGAGATATTGCTCTTCGTTTGCTCACATGCAATTGGCTGGCATCCGTCCAACGCATAGGGGCGTATCTCATTTTGCTGTTTCGGTTTCGTTGTCCCACCTTTTGTCATAGATCAAGAGAATATGTGAGATGTAGTACCAGAGTTCCCCGGAATACAAACTGCCAGCACGTTGACCTGGATGGCAGGCATGATCTAATACCTCTGGAGGAAATAAGCCTTTCTCACGAGAAGTTCAGGCTTTGGAACATCGTGATATGACAATGCTACGGATGGCGAGCGTCACTTATGTCTCAGCGCTTCGTTTTTGGACCATGGAATCACGTCACGCGCTTTGGTTTAAGGAAATGCAGCAGGAGCTGGCATGGACAAAAGCTTAAACGTGTGTCATTTGTGAAAATAACCGTACAGGTTACAGGGTTGCCGGACCTCCCCAAGGTCAGCTGGCTTTTTGCTGAAGTGTTCCGAAAATTACGCGTGCATCAATGCGCATGCATAATGTTCGCAAAGTAGCAAATGCGCGGGTCGTCACGTTCCTTGCGAGAATGCTGTATATGTTGTCAGACCTGCGGCCCTTAAAGATTTCTACGTGTTTTTCATAAAGAAAAACGTTTGTGGGAGGAACAAGCAGATTATTGTGATGGATGTTTATGCTTTCAGCATTTTTTCTTCCGTAAATGGCTTCATCCGAAGGAAAGCATGCTCCAAAGTGCGCGGTGATGCCACTGGTACCTTATGTTGAACCAAACTTACACAATGCCGTCTGGCACAAGGCGCCAATACAAGTAACTCATTTATGACACCCGACGTGTAAAAAGTGAAGTATTTGGATCGGGTCTTACTGAGGTACATAGGTTATGAAATTCGACCGTTTGGTCTGTAGAAACGTAGTTAGCTCTTAAGCTGGCTATGAGTTGAAATTTATCGTGTCGTGGTATAAAAACTTTTCAAGTTTACGTAAGTTGTGAAGTGTATGTGCGAGGAACATTATTCACATAAATAAGACAGTAGTAATAGCCTTATTCTTGGGGGTGGGAACAGGAGAATGGAGGTACAGATGCATTAATATTTCGCCAGCTGTTTCGATAAAGGCATGCTGCCAAAATACCAACGCTTCTATATCTACATTTTCCTGCTTTTGCTCCGAGGAATAAGACCATTACTCCTGTGTTATCCGTAAGTTCTGAATTTCTTTAAAAAATACCGTAATGCTCATACGTTTCGAAGTTAATAACAACGAAGTAGATGAAACCATGAGCGCCGGCGTAGCTCTGACTGTGCTCCAACTGTTTTGCAGCTAAACTATGTGTCAAGAATACATTCTAGTTCAGAAAGAGACCTCCGCGCAATCTCCTTAAATCATGGGCATTACGTAACGGGCCACCATGAATCACGCCTCCAAGATTCTTTATGCCCATCGTGGCGGCGTGCGGTGCCCATGTGGGTGCTTTTGAGGGGCAATGGTATTGCACGGACTGGAAATTATCCGTCAGGCGAGGAGTTGTGTAAGCTCTCAGAGGTCTTATGGTACAGAAGATGTAGCACCCTACGTTCCTGTATCAAGGAAGAAGGAAGGGGGAGAAGAAAAAGGACAGTTACACGGAGGGACGGGCTTTATGCAAATATGGCATTACTGGCAACGCTTATTTAGTGAATATCGATGTGCTAGAACATTTCATAGTTAAGTGCAGCATTTAGCTGAAAATGAAAAAACAACTATAGCAAGTGTAAATCTCGTGTGAAAGCCGTTGTGTTGACCAGGCTGGATAAACGGTCTCGTGAACAGGCTATGGGCTTGATCCCCAACGGCATAAAACAACCATGACTATAATGATGAACTGGACCTCCCCAAGGGAGTACGCCCTGCATACGCCCTGAATACACCCCTGGAAGTGCATGTGAGTAAGGCGTCGGGGGCACCAAAATGAACGTCATTTCGCATTGCTTATCATCGCCAGTACATACACTAGTGCATCCAAACAGCATAACCCAACCCGTTCGTTAAACAATAGCCTCCCATGCGCGGCGTATAACTGGACTGTTGGGTCATTCGTACATACCGCGGAGATCGATTGCCGGCTGTGTCCGTATCACTGACCGTTGATAGTTAGCGCGGAGCAGTAGCCTCGCTTGACGGGTGAGCGTGGAGCAGTGACATCGCTTGACGGGTGAGCGCGGAGCAGTGGCCTCGCTTGACAGGTGAGCGCGGAGCAGTGGCCTCGCTTGACAGGTGAGCGTGCAGCAGTGATCTCGCTTGACAGATGAGCATGGAGCAGTGACCTCGCATGACAGGTGAACGTGGAGCAGTGACCTCGCATGACAGGTGAGCGTGGAGCAGTGACCTCGCTTGACAGGTGAGCGTGGAGCAGTGGCCTCGCTTGGCAGGTGAGCGCGGGGCAGTGGCCCCACTTGACAGGTGAGCGTGCAGCAGTGATCTCGCTTGACAGATGAGCATGGAGCAGTGACCTCGCATGACAGGTGAGCGTGGAGCAGTGACCTCGCATGACAGGTGAGCGTGGAGCAGTGACCTCGCATGACAGGTGAGCGTGGAGCAGTGACCTCGCATGGCAGGTGTTGCCTTTCGATCAAAATGTGGGAACTCCCAATGGATGTGTTGAGAATCGCCGTTATAACATATTTTAACTAGCAGAATGCACAGATAGCGGTGGTTCCAAAAGATCACTGTAAATCCAGTATTAAAACAACAGAAATATTGCGGGCCTAAGAGGCCATAACCAAAGTTCTGACGCATGTACGCCAAAAAGGTTTGACGTACATTTGATACAACTGGCTGCAATTGGACTTTGATTAAGTGACGTAGTCGATTAATTAAGTTTTTATATAGTTAGCTAATAAATTTGGCTAGTAACGAATTGAGACGTCCGCAAACTCGAATGGACCTGCCTTTCCTGGAACGAGCACTCGAGTGTTGACCGTACCAAAAAAAAGAACTGGGGAACGTCGTAAATGTATATCACTTTTACCCTTTGTTATCCGTCGTGACACAGTGGACTCGCCCCAAAGAGCGAACGAACCCCTGAAATGCTCTTTGCCCTTCGTCGCCTCGCAATGAACTAAAACGCCGCAGTGATAAGACAGTAGTAATAGCCTTATTCCTGGGAGAAAACCAGGAGAATAGAATTATAGTAACTTTAACTCCATTCTCCTGGGTTTTTATCCGGGGAATTAGGCTGCTTCTACTGTCTTATCTACGTGAATAATGTTCCTCTTTAATGTACCGATCAATTTACGCAAAACGCCGCACTGATGAAATTGCTCGAACGTCACTGTTGTTCCTATGACTCTGTGAAATACCACACCCGTGTGCCAGGAGCCGACACGATAATATTGAATGTGAAATACAAAAATGCAAGGAAAGTTTACTGCGCCAGCTTTGAACGACCATTATATCGTCGCCATTATATCATATAAGTTAGTAGTAGATTCTATGATATTTTACTCATTCGTCATATAAATATTTCTGGTCAGATCCAGTCTTTCAAAGCCATTTACACGTTGTTCTTCCCAATAACTTCCGGGCGCAAAATGACCATCGCAGACGGCGCGCCTTAAGACTCCAATCATCATCATCATCATCACAGTATCCTCTCGTGAGCTGTGTAAGTCAAGGTTAAGCCCGTGCTGTCCGAGTGGCTCCTCGCCGGTGGCCGGCCGGTTGTCGGCCCTTTGTCTGGCGGTGCGGTGCGGTGCAGTACGGGCCGGGCCGGGCCGTCCTCGCCCGCCGCGGCGGCGCCAGGTGGCGCGTCACGCAGTCAGCGGCCATCGATCGACTGCGCGCCGCGGCCGCACCCCCTCCACGGCCGCAGCTGAGGCGGCGGCGCTCGCGCCGGACGGGCCGGGCCGGACGCTGCCGCACTGCGCTGCCGCCCGGCCGAGTCCACGTGCTGGCGTCGGCTCCAGCGGCGCAGGGGTGGCTGCGGCGGTCGCTAACGTGCATGCTCTCGGTAGGAATTTTGTTTTTTCCCTGTCTGACTGCCAAATTGGCCGCTGGAATGTCTGCATATGTATCCCCATGCGTGACTTTGCATTTTCTTGAGGTTGCTTATAAGCGCAGAAGGAGATGCGTCGTGCGATGCGAAGCTGCCCAACGTCAGCCCTGTGGCAAATGAGCCATATCGGATCGATGTCCAGTCAGTTGTTGGGCCCATTACAAACCCTCCCGTTGAAGTCAAACAACGGCACGCGTTGCCCGCTGTGGCTTTCAAGCTCATTGTTCTGTTGCCGCGGTTGTGGCGACGCCTTTGGCTGTGGTGTCCCTAATGCAGTGGCTCATGACTGTTGCCTTATTTGGTGCGTTGTGCTGGTGCGAAGGCATTAAGGCTAGGCTTTGATTTTTGTAGGAACAGCTGCCAGTAGTCGCACATAACTGCATGTTATTAAAACTGTAGTCAACGTATTGCCTAAGTCGCGTATGTCCGCCCGGGAGTATGAGAAGTGAGCCTGCCCGCGTCCCTCCAATCCACGGAGTGTCGGAGCCCTTGATCAGCCGGGCGATTCACGGAGTGTCGGGGGCCGTGATGAGCCGGTTGATTCACGGAGTGCCGGAGGCCGTGATGAGCCGGTTGATTCACGGATTGCCGGAGACCGCGATGAGCCGGTCGATTCGCGGAGTGCCGGAGACCGTGATGAACCGGTTGATTTACGGAGTGCCGGAGACCGTGGTGAGCGGGTTGATTCACTGAGTGCCGGAGACCGTAATGAGCCCGTTGATTCACGG